CATAAGAACTGCCCTCAGTACTCCTGCGTGGTATGCCACGCCATCGCCCCCGGACACCTCTCGGTCTATTGCAAAGACCTTAGAGGGACCTACCCACTTCCGATTGTCTATACCGATGACGGATTTTATGAAGCCCTCCGCAATTGGGAGGCAGACCAGAGAGCATTCTATGAACAAGAATGCGAACAAGCCGATGAAAATTATCGCAACCAACCAAGCTCCTCTACGGACCTTGATGACTACAACAACGCTGAAGCAGATCCCGTCTACTATGACGACGCTAGAATGGATTGAAGTCAGAGACTTCAACGGTTACACCGGGGTAATGTTACAATAACATTTACTCCTATTTCATTTTTCTTTTCTCATAACCATGCCGCCGATTCTAGACTCATCTAGACTCAGCTATTCTCTTATCAAGCGGGCTGTCCGCACTTCTCTTCTTTCTGATTGTAACATAGATACTATCTTGCGCCGCATGGCGGTTTCACCTATCTTTGCTATCTTGATAGGTTGTACTCTTTTTCCTATCTCTGTTACTTTTCTTGTCGCGGCTACGCCGTCTCCTTTCACCTATATAAACCCCATGTACCATAGATGTATTCCTTAACTTAATCTACTGGGTTTTCCCCTTGAAACCTGATCTACTAAGGTCTCCACCCTTAGTAGCCTGAACTCTGATTCTAAGACAGTCACTCACTGTCTTAGCCTGAAACCCTTGATTGCGGTAGAAGTGCTAAAACCACTCACCGCCTAGGCAGAAGTGCTAAAACCACTCGCCGCTGATCCTGCATAGAAGCCGCGGCTCGTGCAGTAGGAACCACCAGAAACCTTCCTTGTATTAGGAAGGCCGACGAACTGTTCGTCCGACAGGTCTATCTTGACCGGCAACAGCAGAACTATCCCAGTCGTAACAACTGTCAAACTCGAGCAAAAGTATGTATTGTGACTATAATACATTAATGCTAGTGCTGACTCACTTCTCAGTTTTGACGCACTTCCACGATGGCCTAATCTGACACATTTTTCGTCTGTCATGGCAGTGGATTTCACTGATGGTACTGTTCTCGGGGATCTGTCGAAGGTTTGTCTATACATCATACACGATTTTAGGTACTAAAATAACTTAGATGATTATCTTTGCAGCACAGGATATTCTTTCTTCGTCCCACTGCAAACTGGGACACTTACTTCTTCGCTGCATTTGCTACTACATTGAGTTCGATGTCTATGCCTCATTCGAAGTCCACACGGAAGAGACGATTACAGCTGGAAGGTTGGCGCTGCAAAAGTTCTCGGAAATTATGGATGTAAGTTGCTATTTGTTCAGATGATGACTGTCTGACATTTTACTAGAAATACATCACTGAATCGCAGCCTGAAACGATGAAGAATTGGAATTTTCCAAAGAAGCATTTAATCTCGCACATATTTGATGATATTTTGGCCAAAGGCGTGACCCGCAACTACAGTACCAAGCCCAATGAAAAAATGCACGGCTCTCTTCGAAAAATCTACCTTCAATGCACGAATTTCAAGAATGTTGCTTCTCAGGTGAGTCACTTCTAACTATATTGTCATGTGGATTCAGCCTAATGATAGCTTTATTGTTGCAGATCCTTCACTATGATGAATGGCTTCTGACCTCGACGTCTATGCGCATCGAACTCGACGAACTCGACAAGTATAATCAAGGAGACACTCTCGATCCCGAGACCAATGAAACTCTGCCTGATGCTGGAAACCCCGAATCTACTACTGTCCATGCACATTTAGGTTCGAGGCAAGGCAATTACTCCTTTTCCGATATCATGCACTCGCATGGAACTGATAGGGCCTTCACCGACTTTCGGATGAAGCTTAACAGCTTCCTGAACGGTTTTCTACCACTAAATAATATTCCATTACCAGATGGAAGGCGCATTCACCTGCATGCAGAGGACGTGGTATGCTAATTTCCTTCAATTCAATTGATAAGACTGATACTTTTTTACCAGGTAATGGAGTTTCAGTTTTTGCGCATTCATTATGAATCACTAGTTGACTGGCGCATGCACCGAGACTTACTTCAGTGCAACCCGAAGTTCTATGGATCACCAAGGTACAACTGTGTCTTGGTGAACACTGCAGACAAGCCGTTTTTCGCTCGCTTAGTGTATATGTTCAGCTGCTCAATTGGCGGCACTGATTTCCCTCTTGCGCTAATTCATCCTTATGATGTCAGTATCCCCAGTAGTCGTCGAAGGCGAGACAACGACCTTGGACTATGGCGTGTGCAGGCCAAACCTCGCTTATCCTCTGAAATCATTTCCGTCCAGTCAATCATTCATGGAGTTACTCTCACAAGCAATCCTGAAACACCTGGTGATTACTTCGTCATCCACACTGTGGACAATGACATATTTCTTCTAATCAAGGCCCTCCAAGCTCAACCATTGTGAGGCAGGCCATCCTCAGTATCATTGGTATGTCCTGGTCCCCTCATCCTTCATCTGCAACAAGCTTTTATTGATGTCGGCCCTCTACAGATGTTCAATAACCTGTATGATACTTCTCCCATATCTCCAACAACGCATCTGCCAAATCTGTACTCCCTTCATTCATCCTGGCGCTCAGCTCCCCTCTCCCATATCTCCAACGACACATCCACCAAATTCATACTCCCTTCATTCATCCTGGCGCTCAGCTCCCCTCTCGTGCGGCTGTCATGCACGACATTCTCGACATGATGCCCGAGTCCTTCAAGCAAAACAAGTCGAAAACCATTCTCCAGCATCTCTCAGAGGTGTGGCATTGTTGGAAAGCAAACTGCGATTGAGAACATTATCCTATGGTACATCAAGAGCAAGGCTGATTGGTGGTGCTCGGTTGCACACTATAATCGGGAGTGTATCTGTTGGGGTGCTACGGTTGATAATCGTTTAGAAACCGCTTGTCAACATCCACCGTTTTACAGACGTAAGTGACCTGAATCTACCCTTCACATTGTAATACTTGATCCGTCTGCGTGTTAATATGTAGACTTGCAACGTGTATTATCACACATCAAGCTGCGCAATGCTGCCATGATTATGTATGTCTTCGCCGCATTTAAATTGCCACTCAAACTCACTTACTTGTTGGATAACAGCCTCATGGCCTCAATGACTTTCAATGAGCTAATAAGCACTGATATCAAACCACGTGTATGATGATATTGAGGTCACTCTGAGTTGTTTTCGCTTCGGTTAGTACTAATAAAGATGAAAAGAGCCGCTGCCTTATGACACTCAATTCAGATTCAGACTTCACAGCTGCATAAAATGGCATCAATTGTGAGATGACTTTGACCCAACGCCCACTCTCAGGACTTGATCTAGCTGATCAAACACTTTCTTCCCATTCCGCCGTCAATGTCTGACTCTGATTCAAATTCAACATCCTTCAGTCTTGATTCAGGCTCAGACTCGGCAGATGAAGGCACCCAACGTCGTCCTGTGGCTCCACCGAGCAGTGGTGCTTCTATTGAGCACTACCAAGAGGTACACCCTTCCTTTTGTTCATACCATATATTCCAACATACTCATTGATCTACTAGTATATTAAATATCTTCAGCTTCAACATGGGCAGCTCCAGCAGCGAAACATGTCTCTGAACGAGAGCAACAACTGAAACGTTCATGCAAGCGCCCTCAAGCATCGTCGTCTAATAGGGTACCATCAGTGTCGCAATCGACATCTGCAACATCTGCAACACCATCTGCATCCGAATCAACTGCAACCTCTGGTACAACTCCTGACTCATTGAAGACCAGTGGTGTTGACAAGGTTATTTTGGGCTTGGCTAAGAAGTATGCGTTAATTACGGAGATGTTTCTCCCAGACAAAGTCATTTTCCAAATGGACTGTCCTGACCCTCCAGTTGACTTCTCAAGTCTGGCTTGTTATGCAAAGAAGTCTACGGAAAAGTCCGCACTCATCACTGAACTTTACACATCCATCGACTACATGTTGCATGCTCGGATGCGAACAAATCATTTCTTCAACCAGGTGCATAGCCTTTTCTTCCTCAAGCCATTGATATGAACATAACTAAAACTTCGATTAGTTTGGAAGTGGAATGCAACAAGCTCGCTCTTCGTTTCTCAACAGCCTGCATTCTGTCGCAGGTGGCATCTTCAACATGCCCAACGAGTTTTTTGTCTCCAAATACGACCGTAATTCCCTCCCACAGGTCACGGACTTGATTGGATGGGAAGCAGGCAAGGGCCAAGCATATGATATCTTCAAGGTGCCGATACTTTACCCTGACCATGTTGTGAATGAGAAGAAGATCTTCCAAAACTGGATAGTCATCGCGAAGGTGAGGTTTACTTGTTGACAACAGACTGGATGCTCATTTTGTTTTGAAGGTTATCAAGGTTGCAATATGTGGGAAGATGTCATTGTATCCCAAAGCGCGCAGTGGACCACCTTCCTATGCCAAGATATGGAAACTCACGAGCTGCACTCCTGGCCTGATTGCTTTTGGTGTCACATCAGTAGGTTTTCAGTCCTCTAGATGTACACCGATTCAGAGCTGATACCCATCATGTTGTTCTGTAGATCATATTAATCCTATCACCAGACCAGGAATTTTCGGGCGATGGTGTTGGTGCTATTTTCTTGATCTCGTATCATTCAATCTTTAAGACTGTCAAGAAGATTTTCATCCTTAAGTGTGCACATCAGCGCATCAAATCTGTCGTCGAGAAAATCAATGGATATGTATTTGATGGTACAGTAAAGACACAGCCATCCAACGACACTTCATGCACTGTAGAGCACATCACCAAGTCACTCGATCACATCATGGCTGCGCTGGATGCCAGTGATTCAGATGATTCAGACTTGAACCAGAGCGATGAAGAATTGGAATATGTTAACTTGCCAGCTACCAAAGACACACATCATTCCACTGCAGCCACAGCTGTAACCATTACACCCTCGACTCCGAGTCCTAGTGTAAGTGCCGCAGTGGCAGCACCTGACAGGCCCACTGTGACCTCGGACATTCGAGATTATCCCGATGCCCCGCACACTTCCATTTTGACCCCACAACTCCCCACTTTTATGGCACTGCAAGCAGAGATTTTGGGAGATCCTGAGGGGTGAGGATGTATTGGCAGCTACTACTGCCAGTGGTGCAGGGCTTGGTATTCCCGAATCTCGAGCAAAAGCGTCCAGGGGCAGGAAGAAAAAGTCATTGATGGTCAATGATTCCACAACTATTCATCGCTCCTCATGTCACACTGCAACTACTTAGCCTTCATAGTTATTATCCGTGCTCGAATGTCATCATTTGCCTAGTGTCAAGACACACTTGTTTGATCGGTCTGTGCTTATATAATACAGTACTCTTTAAACTTGTTCTTCCATCACAGCTCCTTGTTCTCATAACATTCCATGAACCATTTCTCTAGGTCACTGCCTTGAAGGTCTGGTCGATAACATTCTGTGGACCGTTCCTCCAGGTGACACAGCTGATAACATCCCATGAACCATTTCGTTGCTGCTTCAAAGGTCTGGTCGATATCATTCTGTGGACATACTACTCTTCACACTCGTTCTTCTATCTCGCTCCTTATTATTATGCTCATTTCATTGTCAGAAATGGCGATGGTAATCACCGCCAACTAATTTCAACCTGGGCTTTGTTTTAAACATTGTTCTAGTAATTGCTGGCACCATTTCTTCTGGGATGCTACCTCCAGGTGAGACCACATGGACTCTTCGGTTCATGGAAGGTTTCGCTAATTCAGACAACATTCCATGAACTATTTCTCTAGGTTGCCCAACCTCTCTTTTCGTCTCTGAACTACTACACAGATGAGATGGATCCAACATCCAGTAGCAAGAAGTCAAGATCCTATGCACAGTGCCTGTGTGTTTTTCTCTTTTGTAGTTCTTTATCGCTGACTCCTTGTCACACAGGGAAATTATCGCACTAGACAGAAGAAAGCTGCTAGCTCATCTTGACCCGCCAGTACTCACACTACGCAACAACCCAGAGCACCCTATCATCATGTAGAGCGCCACTTTCCACTGCTGCTTCGACACCTTCCACTGCTTCGATACCTTCTGCTGCCATTGGTCTGCCACGTCAGCAACAGACGAAGGCAAGAAGGATGGGACCAGGGACATTATTTCTTTTTTCATTATGCGTACCACAATGTATATTAGTATTCATATCAACTTGATCTGACAATTGATATGTTCATCATCACCTTTATCAGAATGATCATTATAGCATTAAGACTTGGTTGGTGACCTGGAAATGTGCATTTAAACTTCGTTAAAATGTGCATTAATACTCAGTGGGTACCATTAAAATGTGCAATCAGACTTTGTAAAAATGCTCATTAATACTCAGTGGATACCATTGAAATGCACACTCAGACTACGTTAAAATGTCTATTAATATGCCCATTATATCATCATTTTGATGAGCATTAAAATGCTGACTGTTGGATCGTGATGTATTATAATGGGCCCGTGTCGTTAGGCCATCATAATGGATTATAATGCTGTAAAAAAAGTTCCGACATCCCATCCTTGATCCCAGGACCAACAACGAAGTACACTTTCTTTCAGGTCTTTTTCTGACCATGGTTATGAAGCTGACAATACATATGAGATTTCTAGTTCTGTTGGCATCGGAAGGCAAGGCAAGCTGGCAAAGCTCAAGTTGGTTCCCTGCCCCATGGCGAAATATTTTCAAAGTGGACCAAGAATTGTCGATGCCATTCGAATGTGTTATCCTCCAACTATTTCATGCATGCTGTGTTGCAGACTGACGTGTTGCTATTGCTAAAGCTTCCGATTTCTTTCCAAAGTGAAAACAATTGTGGTCCATGTCCTTCTGCATTGCCGGAACTCTGGGTTGCTACCATAGCTCCTCTCAGGGCTATTCATGTGCATGATGTTGTACATGTGTACGAATTGTAAGGATACTATGTCTTCTACACCCCGACCAAGACTTCAAAAATAACAACGGACTTACCACCTAACATCCACGTGACTCATTGATGCGAAGAAGCATCATGCTTCGCATCCGAGTCATGTGGACACATTCTCCTTTTCTTCTTACCTTCATTATCTCACTGTCATCAATGACGAGCACAGTCCTTTCGCCTCCGTTACACTCTCACTTCGCCGATATCGACCCTCAAACCCTTCTTTTGTTACCTTTTCACTCTGCCGTATCAAACCCTGTCAAAACCGCTACAAAATTCTCGTCACTCTATTCAAACCGGACTCGTCTATACCGCCACTCATTCAGTTCTCTCGTACTCTCTCTTGCTTGGACTACCTATACCTCAGGATCAACACCACTCCCTTCTGCCTCCATTTTTTCACCTAATTGTACGAACTATACATACACGTGGACCCTTACGGTTTTGTGCTTAAATACTGCCCATGTACACTTTCAACTAATAGCGAATTTTACCAGTCTTTTTCCGCTCACAACTCACTCACAAACCTCAGAAACGCCTCTCTAACCATTATTCTTTCCTTGTGTCGCCTTGCTCTCACTGTGTCTACACGAAACACGTATCCCTCGCACTTTTGTTCACCATTCCCTTCCGAACTCAAACCGGCCTTACAGAATGGCACGGTTAGATTTGAATTCCAGAATTGACCATGAAACAGGTATTCGTACCTCGGAGCAGGCAATCCGCGCATTCAAATTGGAGCTAGAGTATTTCAACACTTCTACAATGTTTGCCTCATTCAGTGTGATGATCTGTCCTGAGTTTATTTTCGGGGCATATCAAAGGTCATACCGGTCACGTGTGTAATTCCGTTGAAATTAATATCTATACTTGCTCAATTGACTATTTGTATTACCTTCAGATTACTTGAGATGTCAGCCCGAACGCGCTCATGGCATGCATGTTTATTAATGTTGATTAACTTGGATTAAAATATAGCCGATTTGGGTGCACTGCGCTTTAAAAGGTACGCTGAGTGGTCTTGTCAAGTGAAACTGTTAAAAGAGAAAAATAGCTGTTTTTTTTTCAGCGTCTCTGTACATGTCGTGTCCCATCCTCGTGTCCCATGCATCCGAGCCGGCGTGCTATACGTTATTGCTGGGAATTCTAATACACGTTCATTGAGCGCAAACTATGAGCTCGAGGTATGAACCAGCAGAACACGCGATGCATCCGTTGGGCCGGCTTGTAGCAACTGTTCCACACAGTTGGTTGGTTGTTGCATATTCCACCTTTGTGGTGCAAGCGGGGCGACATCAATAACATTATTATTCCAGGTGGGTAATCAGAACAATCGCCAGAGCATCCACATTTGATTCGTTTTCAGATATTGCTTTGTGGTTGTGGATGTGCAATCATAGTGAATCCACAGCACTCGAACCTTTAAATACTGAAATGCAGACTCCCTGCATCGTCAGACCTACCTCCTCATATTCTTTGCAACTGTACATTGCTTATTTCCAAACATAAATCATGAATTCGTTCAAGAAGATTTTCCAAAAGTGAGTCGACCGTTTCTGCGTTCTACTCGTTGTCATCGTACTAATCAATACCCCTCAGGTCTAACGACGACCAGAATGCGTCGCTTAAGCATTCTAGATCGATGCCATACGGACTTTCTTCAGAAAAGAGGAAGTGCGAGCCTCTTCGTGACGATTCTTCCAAACGCGCATACCGTGGCAAGACTCCTCTTAAGAAGTCCGACATCGTGTACGTCGAGCAAGCTCCAGGGATGTTCGAGGTCTATCACGGCAAACTGTCGCAACACACCTACTACCATGGGCCAACTCACGCAAATTCTGACCCACGCACGGACTTGCTGCCCAAGTTTCCCCATTCCCCGGAACAAACTGAGGGCCTCCCTCGCAGCGGTTTCAGAGCGCTTTCTTTAAACTCAAAGAATCTCAGGCGCCAAGTGTCTATCCATAATTTTGATGCAGGTAGTCGACAAGCCTACCCGCCCATCTCTCACAGAAACCAGAGGTATGTTAATCGAGCTTCAGCAGATGTACTGCAGATCCCTGACGGCCATACTTGCAGTGTCAGACAGGAAGAACGTATTCGCGCCAAGTCCACCGCTGGTCGCTCGAACATCCCTCATCCCTCCGCTCCTGTTCCCCCTGTTCCCAACCCCCATTCCCTTCATCCAGCACTCTCGCGCCTCCCACACAGCTCACGCGTAAACATTCGTGAAGTTCCATCTCATGTCGCTGTCCCCCAGACCTCCTGGGCTTACTCTAAATACGAGGAGATTTTACACGAGCGGGACCCTGCCGTACTCCGTGGGATGATCAATCGTTATCCCTTAACGCCTGTTTGCAGCGAACGTTGCCCAGAAGACATGCGTCCCATACATTTTGACATGGACGAGCCGCAGCGTACCCAGATGACACTTCAACAGTGCATCCATACGGCATTGACCCAAGGCCGTCCGCTCGATGTACGCGCTGGTGGCCGTTACCACCGCATCGTCGATGCGAGTGAAGTAGGCATCGTTCCAGAAATTGGAACCGATTGGTCTCGGCAGGGTGGTCGTCGGTGATTTGTGAGGACGGAGGTTAGTTTGTGAAGAGCGTTTTGGTGCTGGTTCACCTGTATACGTATTCCGTGTCGCGTGTTATGTATATGTATATGTATATGATTTATAGAGAGCGTTATGGTCACATACGAATGTTTGTCCAGGTCTCTCCGCGAGGTGCCAACACTCAACGCCGGACACAACAACACGTCGTCTATATGTACCTTATTCCAACTCTATGATCTATCTTGCCGACAACAAGGTCGACAATATCACCAGTCGAATGTCAGACGAGACGCTATGTGCAAGTGCGAGCGTATTTAAAAGATATTCGACTCTAACTTATTGATGGCATTAGGAGCCTATACTACTATTGAGGGAAAGCGTCGCGTGGCACTAGTATCGAAAAGCGCACATACATATTTACTTCTGACTTCAATCCTCGGGTAGTTTCCAGGCTAGTGATAGTATATTTCCCCAAATGTTCACGCTAATTCCATTAATATACAAAGAACTGTAGGTAAACCGATTGTTTCCTGATGTGCGTCGATAAACGCTACAGATCACCCCCTCTAACTAACTAAATAAACTCTAACTAACCCTAGTAACTCACGCATCAGCGTCAACGGCCATACTGCACCGATGTGAGAGCAAAACACGACTCACCATGCATACGAAAAACATCTGCCATATAGTATGTAGTAAATAAGTCATGTTCTTAATTACGGGAAAATGCTAATACGCACGCATGTATGATATTCGCATTCTGGATTAACGCATTGCTCGCTCCTGTAGCACATACGGAGACAAAAAGTGTCAGCCATGTCACTGGTTGCAGAGATTGATGATGCTAGGGCAGTAATGACGGCGAAGACCATTGGAGAGGCGAAACGCATCCCTTGTGACTTGTGAATCAGGTAATTTTGAAGGCGATAGTAGGAATATGGCTGGCTTTTATATTTTGCTCTTGAATCACAGTTGCGTGGATTTACTAGATGGCACATATATGATGCCAGCATATTGCCAGCAAAGTTCATCGGCAGGTATGGAGCCACTGACCATTCGTATTTCCAACCAGCTGTTGGCTTGCCGTAGGAAGACTGGAGAGTAGTCAATGAAATGACCAGTTTTCCTCTTCAAGTTCACTGTCGATCGACTCGATGTGTGGCCAGCTGTTTGCAAGAACAATCTTTCCAATAGCAAAAAGTCACGCAGCATGGTTGACTATTATATCATGTATGTCCTACCTGGTTGCTTATTTCACTTTTGTCCCTTGATTTTTCGTAAATGAAAATCGGAATATTGCTTTGACTCAATAGGGTCTCGGGTCAGTTACAAAGAATAGAATGGGACATGTGGTTGGTCCAACAAATATTGCAATGCACCGAGCAAGGTTGTGCTTAAGAATGCGACGATTAAAGATAAACGAAGAGCCTGAATAACGACTATGTAACATGATGCTAGAACAAGCCAGAAAACAAACGAGATGACAGGATTTGAGACAAGAACAACGAACGATGCGAGAATACAATGAACGATGATTTAAAGCGCGTCAAAATCCCCCCTGCCAGCCTGAACAATAACAGATCGCAAATAGGGGAGACGAATATCAACCCTGGCACACAAGTAGGCGGTGCATACCGCTGGACTCCTTAAGAACACATCTATAAGAGTGATTTTTTCAGCTGGCGAAAGGTCCTCCTCATCCTGCATGGAGGTCAAGGCCTGTAACCTTTCATCCGCCACCCGAGTGTCTTCTGCCGTGTTGGAAATTGATGCCTGAAGCCTGTCCGTCAGGCGGACGATGGAATTTTGCAGGTTCATGACGGCATCGGTGCTTTGTTCCTCCTCAGATAATGTCATAATGACGAGTTGGAACTGAAGACAGGTAATCAGGACAGCGACAGTTGCGATGATCTGCTGTCGCTGACGACCTTGGGCTTGAATCACACGAGGAGTCATGTTAGAAGGAGAGCTAGAGACTCCAACAGAATTTAAATAATTTGATAATCCTATACATAATTATGGGCTCAGGTATTTTGCCGCACCCTGCCGCAACTTGCCGCACCACTAACGCATCATTACTACCGCACCCGCACTAAATCAACACATTTCACTTTTAGTTTCGATAATCACTGTTGACGTGCACAATATAATTGGTTTACCGTCAAACTCATCAATTATGCGCCTCACGGTCATGCCTTTGAGAGTCTGAATCCTGAGAACAAGTTGAGTACTATGCTGCGGCACGGATGCGGTAGTGGGTGTGGTGGCTTCTTGACGGTCAGTCTTGATATCATTACTGTATGTACTGCATGAGACATTGACATTCAGACTGTCACTAGATCACCCTCCTTGCAACGGCCTGTCTCGCTTATGCGCCCTCTGGCTACTACTGGCACGTAGTACTCATTGCATGAGACACAATGTGTTACGACTTGGATGGTATCTGTTGGCGACGCTCAAACAGAGCTTGTGTTGTCAATGGTCTGTGGACGTCCTTGGGCTAGCCCAAGGTTAGGGGTCGTACTTGGCGGGTCTTCGGCAAGTACGATTTAACGCCTATGTCCAAATCGGGTAGCTTATGTCACGCGGGTGCGAGACGATAAGCTATATCGGCCTAGGCTTACGACACCCGAAGGTTAATCGTAAGGATCGTCATTAATTAGAAGGACAGAAGTCCGACTAGTTAACAGGGGCTTTGCTCGTCGACGAAGTCGATGAGTAAAGGTCGAGACTATAGGCTTATCCGCGAAGAGCAGATAAGAAGATAGAATATAGACTGCTGGCGAGGCAGAAGGATCACTCTGGTGAGAGTAGGAGGTCAAGAACCAAGTAGATTCAAGTTAGGGAATATAGTACATGGTAGCGAGTTTATATAGAGGACAGGGGGCGTATTAGTGGATGATAACTCGTACTACCGGGAGAGGCAATCGGTAAAGGGTAAGACCATAACAGGAAGGCACGTTCGGTCTAGGTAGAACGTGCTAGATAAGAAAGTGAGTCAAAGATCGGAATAAGAAGTGAAACGCGCAGGGGCACGATCGTGCAGCTGCGGATCTAAGTATAAGTTGCATGTGCGACTGCGCACTGAGTCAGAGATCATAAAGGGAAAAGGGTAAAGGGGATGCATCGTGCATCAGATCATAGGTTACCGTCTGGATGGTAACGGCAACTAGACTGTCCACAGGATCAGTCAGGTGGTGAAACGGAGCATGGGTATGCTTCGTCAGCGAAAGGATCGGGCCAGATGTACTGGCTTTGCTGAAGCGATAGGTAGAGGGCGAAAGGGAATGCGAGGATGACGAGGATGACAAGGGTGAGGTCGGGGTAAGGGTATGATGCGAGGGCTGATACGAGGAGGATTAGGAGAAAAATAGTAGGGGCCCAAGCGTCTAGATGTTCTTGTAACACAATGCGGCACGCACCATACTCTTTCGCACAGCCACTAATAACAATGTTCTTTCTTTGCAGATGCTAACATATTTTTGCATGAATGATGTTCAAGTTGTTGGCATGATACTGGTGTGATACCTGGCTTGACCTCCAACTAAGTTGTGATCCGTCCTTGATGGATATAGACATCGACTTGGAGTGCCTTGGTATACTAGAACAACGAATGTTTGAGCTCTCATTGGCTGCAGGCGCTGCAGGGAATGAACAATGGGTAAAAGATGCCGATGCTCACCAAGACCGATGGAATCCATACGAGGGCCTCCTGAGTACTGGAATCATGGTGATCGAGATCCATATGCACCCGAATTTGAAGGAGAAGTGGACATGAGTTGTTGTCATATTGTAGCATGGATTGCTCTGAAACACTTTACACAATAGTGTGGGCCAAACTTTAGTGAAGGAAGTGAGCCCGAAGTCATTCTTAAAAACGAGAGACAGACCCAAAAGCCGAAACCGCGGCCACGACCAAGGAAGGCACATAAGGTGTCTTAAGTTGACAGTAGTCCATAGAACTTGTGTACTGTGAAAGTAATGAGTCTTATCTAAAGGCCATATTAATGGTGCCGAAGTCCGGTTCGGTTTGGTTCTTAGGCCTCTAAATGCGAATGCCGAACTGGACCATCGGTCGCGTTCAGGCAAGGAGGACGAACACTGGACCGGACGCTGATGAACGCGTTCACAAGTGTTCGGTTCGAGTTCAGAACGCGTTCGAACGCTCGAACGCTACATATAAATTGACAAAAATTGCAAGAAATACATGAACAGTAAATGAGTAGCTAAATTTCGTCCATGGCAGAGTGTTCGTGAGCAGCAGCAAACTCAGCTTGAACCGTTGCGGAAATATGGCCTTGACGGTACCCACTTTTCAACAGCTGTAGGGCCTCAAATGTTGTTGGCAACAACCGATTACGGCGCGTGGTCCCAGTGATGCCGCCACTCGAAAACGCTCGTTCAGATGCGACGGCAGAGCCTTGAATAGCGAGGTAATCCTTTGCAATGCGAGAGATGGTGGGATATTGAATGGAATGGTGCTAAAGGCATTTTAAGTCAACTTGCAAGGAAACACAATGCGAAAAAACTCACGCCCCACCACGCCACTATATTCTCAACATCTTCTAATGGGGCAGCAAAATACTCGTCGAGCTCCTGGTGAGAGCCATAAGGGAGGCATCTAATGTTTGCTGCGCTTCGTCAGTTGCTTTGCAGTTAGGAGGTATCGCCCGATCATGCATCTTGATACCTCGTTCGTTGCAGCAGTTGCGGTATATTGGAAAGTGACACTTCGCGTTTCGAGCGATATGGGTGCGGCGAGTCGAAACACTGCCTTTGAAAAAGCAGTGATTGGTGGGTACATCATTGGCTCTTAAATTGACATTAGTTATGCGTGTGACATTCAAAGTAAAAGTAAAAATGTACCTGCAGATCTCGCACCACCAGCCGTCTTCGGGTTCTTGGGTGTGCGGATTGATGTGTCCCTTCTCCTGAGTAAATACTACCTTCAAATCCCCACTGCACTCCTCTTTCTTCTTATGCTTGCGATCCTCATGATCCTTGTCTCCAAATACCTTGGTCCGCTCGTAAGCTTCTTTGGCCTCTTCTTCATCATCTGAGCAATCTTCTAGTGCAGGGGGTTCGTCGTCATCGTCATCGTGGGACCCACGTTGCACTCGCTTGGGTGCGGGCTGTCCTTGGGGGGTGTCATCGTCGGGATCATTGTACCAATCGATGGCGCTAGCGTCTTTGAGTTGGCCATTGGATCCAAGTGCGCAAGACATTCTCGCAGCCAGAAGGGTGAATATTGTACCTGTAGTAGCTCATTTATACCAAAATTTGTGGTTAGAGATTAGAAAAATGCGACGCACCTTGAACATATTGTTGCCATGCAATGACTGCAGCAGTTGATTGATGTTGAAGCAAAAGCAAGTACCTGAACGAGCATCCCAAAGATATGTTCTGAACATAGATTAAATTATAATCCTAATAACAATTAACATAGGGCTTACCAAAATGTTGAATAGATCACAGAGGAAGTCAGACGTCACTAACAGAAATGCATTCAGTCTTTTGGTCATGAAGTAAGAGCCGTTCTGGAGATCAATGCTCCCAGAACTGCCAATGGCCATATGAGTTTGTTGCCAGGTGATCAGAAAAAATATTAGGATAGATGGATAGCAATAAGCTGAGGACCTCAAGCGGATCATAGACAGAAGGAAAGAACCGTTTGAACGTGTTTGAACGGGTCCAGATGGGTTCACAAATCTGAGGCATCAGCCGAACGCTGAACCTAATAATAGGTTCGGTTCTTACCGTAGGCTGAACCTCGGACCGAACGGACAGTCTGGTTCGGAAGGATTCGCGTTCGAACCGAAGTTCCGAACCGGACTCCGGCATCACTAGGCCATATACCCATCACATACATACCTTAGACCCTAATATCTGTTCTCACGGGGGCACAGAATCATGTTTGAGGCCCAAAGATGTGCTGTAGTGAAGTTGTCAAGGCATGTCACCAATGAAGACATATCTTGAACAATAGGAATTGAGGCGTTGAACTGTGTGAGGAGTTGTTTAGTAGTTGCACCAAGTTTCGCGTGAGGTGCTGCAAGTGTACTGCATAAGATGGGTGCGTTGGTGTGGGTGCGGTGCACAGCCACTGCCGCATCACTACCGCATCACTGCCGCACCCATCAAGTATACTATCACTGTTGTATCAGTGTAATTCTAACTCAAAAACATACACTATGATATTTTTGCGTCAATAATCATATTCATGGCCTTTATGGACGACATAGACATATTATACAGGGATATAAGACACTATTAAGTAGGATGCGGCAGGATGCGGTACGATGCGGCAAAATCCCAAGGCCCCATAATTATTAATAAACAAAAAAAATAAAACAGTTGTTTTGCAGCAAGCTCTATGCAAAATATGTACCTCTACGTTGTATCTTGGAAGGCCTGCGCACGTAAGTATCACAGACTTTTCACATTGAAAAGTTTGTCCCCAAGAATAACGACCCCCAATTCAGTCTCGATGTGCGTGTTCAAACTTTCGGCGTCCATGAGGCTTCGACTCGAGTTATGGAACGTTGGCCCCACCAATGAAACCCGACTTTACTGACGAGTCTTGGTGACCCTCCGGCTCAATATGACCTCGGAGGCTGCTTATGCACCTGTCGTTTCGATCTGCTTCTCGTCATACAGAACCCACATGAGCCAGGCAACCTATTTTCCCTGCAGGCGACTTCGTACATGTGCTTCCGGCTCCGCAAACTGATGAGTTGTGTCGTCAACTCTTAGCCTAAATACCACCATGTTGCGAAACTTCTCGATGTCACGAATCATCGACATCTCGCATGTACTATACGCTCCTGGCAAATGATATTTTCAACCCGCCAAGATCCAACGTTCAATCGACTGACTTTTGTCTTATCCCTTGTAATTCAAGCTCAAATACACGATCTTTGCAAAATCTACACGAAATTCTGCAAGACTGTTGTTCACTATCTATCAACCCCCTACTGGTGGCGATGAGTATCGACGATCCCCGACCTAGCATGATGGGACTTGGGCATTTTGTATGTGTTCAGAACGCATTTGATCGAGTTCTGCCCCTGACCTGTTAAACTGAATATATCATTCATTTGCAAGACGTAAAGACATGTTGTAGTTCTAAGCGAGTGTTGAGGTCCTGACTCCCCACTCACAACCGAAACCATCCCAGGTCATGTGGTACCATCAGGTGCTGTTTGCGTTCTTAATGCGACCACTTCATGTAGGTGTTTTAACCGATTGATTCATATACCGTCCTTCTAGCTTCATCTTCCAACAAGGACTCTTCATTCCCAGTGACTAGACAAGCCTCCAAACGTTGCGATAAGGCAAGTTCTCTCTGACTCGCTCGCTCGTTACTTACCAACTGCCAGCAGAACCTCATTTCACTGACTCTTCCATATAATTTGCATTCTCGCTGTGCTGTTGTGCAGCAGCATAACCTACCTATGTATGCAGCCTCTCATTATTGCTCCCAGTCGAAATGCACAGAGACTGACGATGCACTTCCAGTAATTGTTATAGTTCGCATTGCATAGGGACGATGACGCGTCGCTCCTTTCCCCTCCGAACTTTTACACCATCTATATGCGATCTACGCATCAATCGAATATGCCTTCCACTCTGCTATCCCTCTGTGCTCCCTCAGTTTATCAAGCCAACATAATCGCGTGTTGCTAACTCGCTAACCTTTACAGACACAAATCCATTTGCATCAGGCACCGCAAAGCATCATGAAGGTATTCAAACGTTATGTGCGATGGCGATTCGTATTATCTCGCAGCTCTATACCTTGTCTAACATATGACATTACAGGAATGAACCTCTCAGCCCTAGTCGATGCCCAAACCATCACTCAACTTGCATACGCGGCCTCCTCTTCGCCTGCCCTCCTTCGATCACCCACCGATCCTTCCACCCTTCCTCCCGTAAATGTGCATCGTAAGGTACTCCTTGATATCCTTAGGAAAGGCTGATCACGGACGCACAGCTGCTTACACATGAACTGCCTGTGATCAGTATTCGTAACATCGGTCGCGTGGCTGTATAGCGCCACACTATGCATGCCGGTGGGCACGACTTCGAGGGTTGAAGTAGGTAATTACGACGAGATATCTGTTTAGATCGGGAGGCGATGCAGTCTGACAAAGAGAGGATGGTGCTGGATGACGCCAAGTGACCTTTGTCAACTGATGGTTCTAGTTCTGACTTGCGCACTTCGTCCTGCGGGAAGTAAACTGGGAAGTAATTCTAGAGAATCTAGTAGCGACAGGAGGACAGCATGTATGTAAACGTAGCGAATGAAACTTGCGAGAGGGAGCGCATTGAGTAGCAGAACGTAACAAATGGAGTGCAAACAAGGATCATATGAAATCTGTAGAATGCGCACAGATCTTCAGTCAATCAACATAGGTACATGCCCAAAGTCCATCTGACAGATACTACCTACTGGTCGCGACACTCGTACCATGATGTGCCGTGTGCGACACGACTCAAGTCCAGCTGTGGGGTATTGCTAGGAATCACCAGCGTGTTGCCTGGGGCATACATACAATGCATTGCGCCCGGGTAAAAAGCGAGTGGGACCCAGAGGAGCAGCCGTCTGTCAGGACCTACAACCCATCCCTCTTTGTCCGTGTGGGATGGGGCTGAGTATTTAGAATCTCGGAGAAAGGAGGAGGGGGAATGAAGGGCATGGGTCGGGTCGGATGAAAAACATATTGCAGGTGCTTCGAATGATTGGTGCCGGTTCAGGAATTCTACATCCCACACCCGGATGGTCTTGTCTCTTGACCCAGACACGATGCGTCTACCATCAGGCGAGATTGCGACAGACGAAACGGATCTGGTGTGCCCTCGAAAAGGGGGACCCACTGCCTCGCTGCTTTTCGTGTCCCAAACCTGGACGGTCCGGTCGTCTGAGCCAGACGCGATGCGATTACCGTCTGATGAGATCACAACAGTGTTAACATCAGAAGTGTGGCCTTGGAGCAGGGCACCTAATGACTGGCCGGTCCCCATATCCCACACACGTATAGTCTTGTCCACCGAGCCAGTTACAATGTGACATGCATCCGGCGAGATTGCAACAGAGAGGACTCTATCAGTGTGGCCTTTGAGAGGGGCACTGAATGCCTTGCCGGTGCCCACGTCCCACACCTGAATTGTCCTGTCATCCAAACCAGACACTATGCGATTTCCATCAGATGAGATTGCGACAGACAGAACCCAGCCAGAGTGACTGAGAGAATATGCCTCGCCAGTTTCAATATTCCACACCCGGACTGTCTTGTCATTTGAACCAGATACGATATGATTTCTGTCCGGCGAGACTGCAACAGACCGAACATAATTAGTGTGACCTTGGAGAACACCCGATGCTTTTCCGGTTTTGGCATTCCACATGCGGATGCTCTTGTCAGCTGAACCAGACACAATGCGCTTCCCATCCGGCGAGATTGCGACTGACCGAACAGATCCAGTGTGCCCTCGGAGAGGGGCAACCAATGCCTCGCCAGTCCATATATCCCATATCCGAACTGTCCCGTCATTCGAGCCAGATACGATGGAACATCCATCCGGCGAGATTGCAACCGAGTTAACCCAGCCAGTGTGGCATTCGAGGGCGGCAACCGATGCCTTGCTCATAATGGTGTCGGCATCCCACACTCGAATTGTCGTGTCCCATGAACCAGAGGCTATGCAACTTCCATCCAGGGAGATTGCAACAGATTGAATATAGCTAGTGTGGCCTTGGAGTGGAGATCCTACTGCCTCGCCATTCTTTGCATTCCACACTCGGATCGTCTTGTCACCCGAACTAGTCACGATACGATCTCCATCTGACAAGATTGCGACCGACGTAACAGAGTCAGTGTGGCCTCTGAGAGGGGCACCCAATGCCTCGCCAGTCTCCAAATCCCACACCCGAACCGTCTCATCTTCTGACCCAGACACGATGCGTTTGCCATCAGGCGAGATTGCGACAGAGTAAACAGTCTTGATGTGGCCCTGAAGAGGGGTGCCCAATGCCTCGCCAGTCTCCATATCCCACATCCAAATCGTGTTGTCATATGACCCAGACACAATACGTTTCCCATCCGGTGAGATTGTGACAGAATGAACTGTATCCGTGTGGCCTTGGAGTGGGGCACGAAATGCCTCGCCAGTCTCCATGCTCCACACCCGAATTGTCTTGTCGGTCGAACCAGACACGATGCGTTTACCATCCGGTGATATTGCAACAGACCAAACACGGTCATCGTGGCAGAGAGGAGATCCTAATGCTTCGCCAGTCTTCGCGTCCCACACCCGGACTGTTTTGTCAAATGAACCTGAAACGATGCGATGTCCATCCGGTGAGAATGCGACAGACGTAACCCAGTCAGCGTGGCCTTCAAGAGGGGCACACAATGCCTCCCCAGTATCGATATCCCACACCTGGATCGTCTCGTAATTTAAACCACACGCGACGCGTTTTCCGTCTGGCGATAGTGCAACCGAGAAAACTAGGCCATTTGCGTAGAGTATCTTTTCTATCTGAGGCCAATTCTCAACATGGCCAGAAGCAATGCGGGGGGTGCGAGGAAAATTCGATGCGAATTTGCAAAACATTCTCGACTGCCTCGGAGCGAACGGCAGAGCGGACAAGTATAAATGGGGAGTGCTGCATAAGATAGTCTTTGCGAAAGTTCGGACGAAACGCAGGGTATCCCTGGTAGCCTGACTGACATGCGTGAACTCGGCATGACCCTACGACCACCCCACCACTCGTAAGAATTTGTTTAAAGAGGAATGAGCCTGAGCTACGCACCGAAAACTATTTTGCAATGGATGAGAGGGTCACTACCGAGCCACCGAGGCTTTTCATCAGAGCCAGTGCTTCCAACCACCAAAGGAGACGCTCTCCATCGAAGAAAGTTTCAACTTCCTTAGCGAGCGATGATTCGAAGGATATAGAGCCGACATGAGTCCCCCAAAATCGACATGAGTATGATAGCTCAGCCGAAATGGATTCATTGACTCGTTTCTCCAAATCGGGGACGGAAGAGTTGGGCAAGTACGAATTCTCCAAGGAGCAGATGTTGAAACGAAGCCCGCGATTTGAGTCCATGACCCGAAGCGAGGCAAAGGCAAGATCTCTTTGTATCACTGATGTACCAACGAAGAGATTATGACTGCGTGATTCGTCTGTGAGAAAGTCGTAGAAAGATGCGTGGAGGGGACGAATCAGAGTCTGAAGATCCACAGTCCCCGTCAAAAGCGAGCCCATTGGCCTAATCACCCGGTCCACTGTGTAGCGGTCTTCTCCACGTGGAAAATGTAGTCGTATTGCGGTCAACGCAGTCATGGGAAGCGGTTCAAACGATGCAACAATTTGCGCCATTACAGAACGAAACATTGCGATTGCTCCCTTGTCCTCTGGTATGAGGTCTGTCAATATGAGTCTATACATATCATCCAACAGGTGTGTTCCAGTTTGAGAGCTAGATGTTCTGGCGAGTACTGCTTCAAAACGGCCGATCGGATCCACGCCTACTTTGTTCGTACCCTTGATATATACGCAGGCCAGACGAGCCCATTCAAACAGGCCGTCAGACTTTTCAGCAAGCATCTTGAAGTGTCCATCGTCAAATACATGACGTGGGCCGGCTAGCTTATCAGAGATATAAAGGTGAATGTCATGTTCTGTGGACGCAATCGGAATAGCATCTATGGAAATATGACGAACATTCAGCGTGGAGCCTAGGATATCCTGAATGTCCTCAAGTGGACGGGAAGTGATGAGAATACGGAAGTTTGGTGGAAGGTCGGTTAGCTGCGAGGAAGAAGTTCGTGACTTTCCAGCAAGGAGGCGAAGAATCTGTTCCCGAGAGATTGCATCACCACTCTCGTCTAATGCATCGATGACAATGAGGACGGGTGCAGCGACGTCTTGTTTATTCCAGGCCATTTGTATCGGTCCTAAGACCAACTCCTGCCATTGTCTTGTGACGTCTGCAGCGTACTTCAGCTCATGGTGATCGTGAAGCGCATGCGCCAATGCTTTCCGCATGATAAAATTGCAGTCGGCCAAGTCACGTGCAATTGTGGTGAATATCTTCTCATGGCGTCGATCCGCTGCCCGTGTACGGTCGAAGCAGAAGCAAGCTCCCAGCCCCCCGAGCTCTTTAGACCAGTTGGCTATTGTATGGGCGATGGCTGATTTTCCTTTCCCTGCCGTGCCAGACAGCCATAAGACACGGGGCATGTCCTTCCCAGTACTGCCAATCCAAGACTTGATCTCCGTCAAAAGCTCGCCGCGAGTATCTGGCAGACAACACTTGGAGGTATTCAGTCCGGCACTAACTGCGTACTCTATGTCCCTGAGATCCCGATCTACGGCTAGGCCCCGGATCGTAGAAAGTCAGAGAGGTTTGACGGGTGAGTTCGAGGTCAATCCTCACCTAAATCCGCCAGGATGATTGCGGCATCACCAATCACTTGATCTCGGAATTGTCGCATGAGATTATCAAGAGCATCGCTGTAATTGCGAACCTCGGCGTCCGTGCCCCTAAAAATGTTCTTGCCAAGTCGTTTCCCTGAGGAGAAAGGGGATTGAATGTCAGGCAACGACGCGGTATTATCGACTCACAGAAATTCTTTGTCTCCGAGTAATGGACGATGAATTCCGCGCACTTCAATGTCTGCTGCGCTATCTTTGTGTATATCTTAATCATGGACGAAATGTTGGCCAGTGTCTTCTTTTCTATCACTAAGACATAGACATCGGAGACTTTAGAGAGCAGATCGGATATGGCAACATCCAGGTTTGCCTGATCGAGAATGATCTGTCACCAAGACATCCCTATTAACTCGCAGTAGGAGGAGCATAAAAAAACGCACCTTAGATGCTTGAGTCAAGATACCCAATGCCACCTTTGCATAGGGATGGAGCTATGCATGAATGTCAGTGACGTACTAAGTATAAATAAGCGGGAGCACATTTGCAACCTGTTCAGCAATGGCGTTGAAAGGTCTTCAGGGTACTAAGAATCGCGGAGAACTGGTTGATCGTATCGGAATTGGACTGTAGGTCGCCGATTGCTGAAGCGGTATTTTGAACAATTCCTCCGATAGAGCTGATGCCTGCAACACCTGTTTGGGCATCTGCGAGCGTTTCTGCCACAAGCATCGTGTCAGGTGGTAATTCCGCCTGATGGTATGTCTTAGTGCGTTATCGAAGAAGAGAGATAAGACTGCTCGAACTGACCTCAGCGATGCCTGAACTGGCGGACTGGTCAGGATTCAGTTTGGAAGCGACGAGTGGTGAAGAATGCTGCAAGAGAAATTAGTAGCGATCATCGTACACGGGCATGCAGAGTTAATATCACACTTACCTGGGTTGTCTTAATATTGCTGGAACCTGCGACTGTGGGTTCAGGGTTGGCAGACTGTCGAGCGCTTCGAGCTGACTTGGGAAGAATTCTCGATAATCCTCCGCGAGATTCATCCCTTGAAGGCTGGAGAGAAGACGACTATAATTATAATGAGAAACAACGGCTTAGCTGTAATGGCAAAAGTCCATACATCACTGGCTGCTCTGCGGCCTCTCTCCTCTGCCAAACGAGGGCTTGAATGACTTCGCCTCAGCAATCCCAAACGCTTCTTCCGAGAAGGATTATCTTCACTCATGGAGTAAGTTAGAAGGACAGTCCAGCGCGAGCTCTATGAGATTTCTTGGTAGCAAGGTGACGAATGATAACGCAGGGCGAACAGGCAGCTGCCGAACGTGCATTCTGAAGCGCCCATCATCGATTGGCTAGACTAGAATATCAATTAGTCGGTTTACTGATGTTGGCTGAGGTGGGTTAAAAATGGCCAAGCAATAGACCTTGTCGTTGTTGGGTGCAAGCATCCGCGCAGTAATATTGCTCATGAGTCACCGTATTGGAAGAACAAAGTTCATTCACGACTAGCTAGACAGACTAGCTATATGCTGAGATTGGGCTAAAAGCACAATGAAGGTTGATGCAGTTGTGAGCGTGCTCTTGTTTGCGCATGTTTGGACGCACACTCCGGTATCTCACTGCAATGCTCTTCAAGTTAGCGACCGGGAATTCAGCAGTGGGCATACAGAGTCGCATTCACTCCAGATGGTCTCCGTCTCATCAGTGGATACTAGAAAATAATTCGAATATTAGATGCTATTAATGGCCACGTCATCAAACAGTTCAACCTGCACTCCAACACCTTTCACTCAGTATCCATTGCTCCCAATGGCATCAAATCTGCAACCACTTCATTCGACAAGACGACATGGTTCTTTGACCTAATCACACTCGAACACATCGGTGAGCCGCTCGAGTCCCTGATGATGTCTTATGTGTGACATTTTCCGAGGATAGCCAGCTCATCGCCACTGGCTGTTACAGCGGACACATTCGCATATAGACAGTTCCTCTGAGCAAGTCAGAGAAGAAGCTCCAACAGGTGGGCAAATTTTCAAACTTCATACTGATCTGTCATATAGTCCACCGAGAAAATTCTGAAGGTACGCTTTCACCGTTGTTGTTTTGTACGATCCCTAACTTTAGTCCTGCAGAAAACCATGCAAGACCCACAATCTCATCCAAGACGCGTTCCAATACCGATTAATAGGTTCTTTGATGCAAGTCCATATGATACAATACATTCGATGCATATCTCACCATCTTTTGACAGTTTGATCCACATTCACCACCTGGACGCAACAATCGCTCTGCCACCACCCGCCACGCCGAAGCCTCCAACATCAAGAACATGATAAATCGCCTCTTCTCTCGTTCCTCCGCTTCCCATACTCCTCGCCCACACAACCCTTGTGGACATATTCGCAACACGAGGCAAATATGTAAGCTTTCTTGACTTTTCGATATCGATCTCGTGACGTTGATATTATCTCGCAGCGCGCCGCTAATTCCCACAGTGCAACAAGGCATAAGTTGCTGCGGCTACAGCGTCCTCCTCGCAAGCAAGCTCAAGCTGGTGTCTCGAGCAGCAACACGCCACCAGCGGGAACATCCAATGTGGTCGATGAAATTACGCCAGCCAGCAACGTTGCAGACCGGAAGTGCCAACGCCTCTGCTACAACTAATCACCCTTCCCCGCTGGACATTGGACATGTTCCAGACATTCACTGCTTCGTAATTCTCACAAGGTGCTTCCTATGTCTTTCTCGAACACGACCGATAATTCTTACGATGTCCAAGGTGTGTCAAGTCCCATGCTGAACCCACCGAAGCGAAGGCTCGGACACCAATGCCAAAGTTTTAGAAAGAGGCACTCGCTAAGCTCCACCGCGAAGCCTAAAAGATAATCTCTGAGGACACGTGAAAGCGCACTGGCGGTACCAACAGCTAGTACCAAAAAAAAATGCCTACTAGCACAAGACATTTGAGAAAGACTGAAATTGAAACAGGACAACGCCGCTCGCAACGGCACTAAGCCTCACGTGACCTACTAGTGTATAAACTCAATTAATGATATCGCTGAATGTTTTTGAAGCGGGTTCAAGGGGTCATTCGGAATTTCGGACGACATTGCACTCTTTACTGTCAACTTTATCAAGACTCAACGTCGCTTTACTGGAACAACCCTGGCATTTCAATACAAACAGTACAGTCACGTCAAATAGCAGAAATATTTGTGGTTATATACACGGCAAGGCAAGTGCACTTGCGCGTGGTGTTTAGTTCTTAACGCAGCTGCAGGCACCAACTTGGCAGTTGCAGCTGTTGACAAACAGTCAGAATCCGGTCATCGAAATGTCGCAAGGCAAAACTCACTTGGAGGTGCAGTTGCATTGCTCGGTGTTGTTGTTGAACATGGTGATTATGAGTGCGGTTAAGCTGCAACACGGTGTCAGTCACGTCATGGTCATGAGGGATCAGTCAGACGACCGACCTGGTATGTAAGACAGTTGAGGATGTAGCAGATTGCTGGAGGGAAAGCCAGTTAAAGAGGGGCCATTTTATATTGCTCATTATTGGCGCCGTGACCAAAATGGACAGAAGATAAGCAGACAGTCAAAGAGTGCATTCATCTCCGTCAATCCCAGGAGTGGCGTGGTACGATACAGGCCCACTGGGCGCAGGGCGCAGGGAGGTAACTAAAAAAAGTAGGTTCTGCTCCAGCCCGACAAGATAAAAACCTCTCAACTTGAAGAGCTGTGGCATATGCATGCCACCATCCAGGGTTGCCAATATCAATGCCACAGGGCACTGGCATCTTTGAAAGAAGAGATCAACTTCTGCTCCGAACCTGTCAAGATAGAAGTCTGCTGGGCGGAAGCAGCTGCATCAGAATACAGCAAGGGGGGCCGGTATATAGGCCACTTACTTGACTTATATGTTGGCCCATTGTAATCTTGATTCCTTCAAGGCAGTGGACGAGCTTCAGTGGAGTGAAATTGACTCTGTTATTCGGCATTGTACTGGCACCAGCTATGCTTTATCAAGAAATTCCCTGACAAATCTCTCGGCATCACTTTGGTAGTGACGTCAGTCACTTGGCTTGTCTTTACACGCCATATCTTCTAACCCGACGCCGCAGACACGTTTTCAGGTGACCGCTCAGGCCAAGCTCAGGCACCAAATAATGAGATAGCCTTGTTGCGAGTGTGTGAAGTGAATTGGTGCAGAAGCACAGTGGCTGACCAGATATCTGTGACTCACTCATACGGAAGTAAGCAGATGTGAAGTCACATCAATGATAACTGAGACGCCATCACATGCAAAAAAAATGATGGAGAAAGTGTGATAGGAACGGTGGTGAGAGACGAGCGATTTGAGCGGCCATGAGCAAACGTGATAGGTGTGATATTGCGGGTGATAGAGTGTATCATCATAGTATATGTCATAGGTGATCAGTGGTGGGCGGTCACACTCGGCGACCACACGAGTGGCAAGGATACCGAGACAAGTGTGAGATGACAGATGCACAGAATGTGATGGTAGCGTATGCCCAGGTTGGGAGGAACTGGAGGTTGCAGGAAGTTCTGTTCTGCGGTTGCCAACACCGTGGCAGCACTCATTCGTCTGTTCCTAAGAAGTCCCGGGAACCTTCGCTGACTGGAACGGTCAGGGTTTCCTGTAAATTTTTTTTATTCGTGCAATCAGTTCAATCATTACCCCATCTCTGGATAGCAAAAGAGCGCTGGCGATAGTGATGGGGTCGTCCTTGTGCTTGTATTATGTTAACGAGCTATCGACTACCTTTGTTTCGCTGTTTTCCTCAATGCACGAGAGACGAATTCATGAGCTAGCCAATCCTTGACAACTTCCTCTTCAGACGACTGGAGGAGCTGCTATGACTTGGCAAACCTGCGAGACACATGCAAACCGATCTTTAAGCGTCTGCCGCGTGACCTGTACAATAAAATTAGCATTAGTTTTATACCGTGTTACGGCGCGGTGCTCTACGTCTTACGAGCTGAGTAGTTGCAAGTTGCCGCTGAACAATATCTCGATGAGTAGGAAATTCGCCTCAAGGGTAGCGCATCTCACTCATACATGGCCTCACCCTACAGTGATGAAGAGAATGGACGACGAAATGGAGTCCAAAGGAGAGCTACTGTCCGAGCATCTTGTGTATGACTAGAAGTCGTTCTTCATCATAGAATTTCAGTCAAGATGGAGGTGAGATACCTTTTTCGGTCAGGGCTGATTTCCACTCCAGATTGAACTGTATGAATCATTGAGTCACATCACTTGAACGGAATTATGGTCACTGAACCTGCTGCATCTCGTATGCTTGAGTTTGTCCACCACTTCGGGAACTACGTGGACGAAATCTAGGATTGTGCATATAAAGAAACTGGACAAGAAGATGACAATTGAGCGCCTGCTATCATGACCAAGTGTTTTCACCTATCATTGTAGGCCTAAAGAAGAAGTTTTCAACATGTGGGAAAATCGAGGAGCGTCCTGGCGGCGGAGAGTGCTTCTGTGCCGATGTGTTTTTCTGGAACGATCCGTGTTCACTTTCACGATGAGAAGATGTACCCTACAGCTTGGAGAACCTTCGAACGGACCACTCATCTAGAAGAGTGACAAGAGAATTAGCATTAGCCTGTTTCACAAGTGTGAATGTCCGCCCTGGAAAACCATGTGTGCCTTACAGCGTAAATGCGTACGAAAACGTCTGTCAGATCAAGAGGATATCTTCATCCTGGGGCATTTGCGAGTCCAGTGTTACAGAAGAACCCTTTAAAATAGTTAGTAGTGTTCAGCACCCAGTACCCTCAAGGGACAGAAATCGGAATGAAAAAACACCACGTGTATTTGATGATGAACAATACAACTCCGAGGCAGCCTCAAAAGAAAAACTTCGCGCCACTCCAACAAATTCCCCACATACATACGAAAGGGCACTTCCCCCAGTATAACAAATGCAACAATCAACCCCCAGTGCCTCAGCCGCCATGCAATCAACAAACAACGACTGCGTCGCCAGTCGACACCACACCATAAACGAAACGACCGCCCAAACCCACATGCTACCTTGTGGCAGGGCCGGATGTCCGACCGTTTTCGTTTACGGTGTCGGCACCAACTGGCCCACGGTCAGTTGCCTGATCAGCGATCACTCGCTGGTCTGCAAGGGCGGGCTTTATGGACTCAACCATGCACCTCCCCGCTCCAATACGCGCGAGGCACAGCAGGCGCTAAGCCCTGCGCAGCTCGCTCCTAGGAGCATTGCGGGCGGTCGAAAGCGGAGAAAAAAGGAGGACGAAAGAAAACAAGAGCTCGAGGACGACGAGTACAACCGACATCCGTCACGTGCCGCGGATGTCACAGGGCCATCACCATTGACCAACGCTCCAGGTACTATCCCGGACTATGGCTGAAGCACAGGGGAAAGTGCCCCGGCATCCGCAAGATAGAGGTGAGCTAATTTCTCAACGAATAGAATGAGTAACTAACTAAATCATGTAGGCCGATAAAGAACTTACCAGGAGAAGAGACCGGTTTCTTTTGTCGAAGGCAGAATGGCACGCGCCATCCACCTCCTCGTTTGACGCGAGCGGTGAAGAGTCAGACGAAGATGAGTACGAGGTGATGCGATTCAGCAGTAAGTCAAGTCCTCGATGGGAGAAAAACCTTTTGATTCACCACGAACTCTAGCATCGGATGTGCGATCCTTCCACGACTACTAGGAAAGAGGAGAAAAGTGACTGGTGTACCGGCACGCCACGACGAAGGAATTCGTGGATAGAATTTGCATCTTAAATATTGTGGGTGAGCGTCAAAGGCGAAGATCCAGAGCGTGCTTATCAGGCATCGGAAATTGTTCACTTACTAGTACCGAACGTCTACGTCCCTTTGTAGATTTCTGTGATGAGATCACTAGAGAAAGGAATGATGATGATCCTTTGTGTTCAAGATCAAAGCGTCTGGATATCGCCGCAAACCGATTTTGAGTGGTCGGAATGAACTGGCGCACTTTTCTTTGTCTTTGTGGTTGCTTTGACTTGCTTTGACTCTTCACCAGACCGTACATTGGTTCCTCGCTAAGCTCACTAGTCCAGTCCCATGCATTAATATTTGCAGTTGAACGTTTCAAGAGGCTTGATATATCGATGGCTAAATCTTGATACATGACACCCTCCCACCCCAACCTTGCTCTTATTGCATCAGACGAAACTGACAGCCCCTTGTTTCGCAAATTAACTGACGTGCCGTTCAATCTGTTATGATGTTATGCTATATTACAGTCTTTCGATATCTGTGGCCACGCCGACAACTCAGCTGATGGTTCTTCGTAACTTCAAGATGCGAAGTCTGCACGTGAAACATACTACCCGTCCCTTTGGCCCTGTGACGTCCTAGATAGACTTTTAGTCTGGCGATCCTCTTGCAGGTATGTAAGGCCCCTCGCCAGACGTACATGTCCTCCTCCGAGCTTCAGTACATCGTTGACTGAGTGGACAACGGTTACTCCCTGGTCCCAACACGTACAATAGGCATTCTTGGTTCTAAGCGCCTGCAACTTTCGAGAGACAGAGCTCACGCATAGTCATAGTTCAAGGTTGACATTCACTCTTTCGAAATGATCCCCATATGTAGGAATAGGACTAGTACCTTTGAAACGACTTGTTGCTGGCGGGTACATCTTGTGGAATTCTCACGAACCTGAAGACACGGCCGAATCTTTCCATCACTTCCAAAGCCCTCACAATTGCCTCACAACAATAATTCCAGCGCAACGGGCTCCCAGGAACGTTACGTTCAGCTCCCCACTCGCAAAACCTGGTCGTCGTCGCCTATATTAAGCTTGGAGCCCTGGACGGTAGTAGCGTTTACCCTCAGGCTGCTAGTGAGAGATTGTTTCTGTCGGACGACTCGGAAAACCGCCCTGAAACCATTGGTGCGTCTTCCTCCCATCTCGGCTATGTAAGGAAGCCTATGGCATTGGAATTGGACAGCTCACCACTTTCGCGCGTACCTATTGGCATTGTGGCAGGCCGCGCTGCCGCAGACATGATCCCTACGATTTCCAGCCTGAGAGCGTGCCCAACACTTTTCGACCATACAATAGTTTCTGTTTCATATATTTGCACTCGATATATATATCTCGCAAAAAAATAAACAGAACAAGTTCAAGAAACTATTCATCGCCAGCGAGAACAGCTTCTCCACGAGACACCGACTCGGAAAGCTTCACGGACATCTAGTCTTTAACTCCCATCCTTGATCCCAGGACCCACAACGAAGTACGCTTTCTTTCAGGTCTTCTTCGATCCGCAGGCTGACCATGGTTATGAAGCTTATGATACAGATGAGATTTCTAGTTCTTCGCGTGGCACGAGTATCGAAAAGCGCACATACACATTTACTTCTGACTTCAACGTAGTGTTCTACCCTCGGGTAGTTTCCAGGCTGGTGATAGTATATTTCCTAAAATGTTCACGCTAATTCCAATACACAAAGAACTGTAGGTAAACCGATTGTTTCCTGATGTGCGTCGATAAACGCTACAGATCACTAGTAACTCACGCATCAGCGTCAACGGCCATACTGCACCGATTGAGAGCAAAACACGACTGACCACGCATATGAAAAACATCTGCAATATAGTATGTAGTCAAATAAGTCATGTTCTTAATTCCGGGAAAATGCTAATACGCACGCATCTATGAAAACTACATCCATGCTTAACGCATTGCGTGGTCCTGATGCAAGCAAGGAGACAAAAAGTGTCAGCCATGTCACTGGTTGCAAAGATTGATGATGCTAGGGCAGTAATGACGGCGAAGACCATTGGAGAGGCGAAACGCATCCCTTGTGACTTGTGGATCAGGTAATTTTGAAGGCGATAGTAGGAATATGGCTGGCTTTTATATTTTGCTCTTGAATCACAGTTGCGTGGATTTACTAGATGGCACATATATAATGCCAGCATATTGCCAGCAAAGTTCATCGGCAGGTATGGAACCACTGACCATTCGTATTTCCAACCAGCTGTTGACTTGCCGTAGGAAGACTGGAGAGTAGCCAATGAAATGACCAGTTTTCCTCTTCAAGTTCACTGTCGATCGACTCGATGTGTGGCAAGCTGTTTGCAAGAACAATCTTTCCAATAGCAAAAAGTCACGCAGCATGGTTGACTATTATATCATGTATGTCCTACTGGTTGCTTATCTCACTTTTGTCCCTTGATTTTTCGTAAATGAAAATCGGAATATTGCTTTGACTCAATAGGGTCTCGGGTCAGTTACAAAGAATAGAATGGGACATGTGGTTGGTCCAACAAATATTGCAATGCACCGAGCAAGGTTGTGCTTAAGAATGCGACGATTAAAGATAAACGAAGAGCCTGAGTGACGACTATGTAACATGATGCTAGAACAAGCCAGAAAACAAACGAGATGACAGGATTTGAGACAAGAACAACGAACGATGCGAGAATACAATGAACGATGATTTAAATCGCGTCAAAATCCCCCCTGCCAGCCTGAACAAGAACAGATCGCAAATAGGGGAGACGAATCTCAACCCTGGCACACAAGTAGGCGGTGCATACCGCTGGACTCCTTAAGAACACATCTATAAGAGTGATTTTTTCAGCTGGCGAAAGGTCCTCCTCATCCTGCATGGAGGTCAAGGCCTGTAACCTTTCATCCGCCACCCGAGTGTCTTCTGCCGTGTTGGAAATTGATGCCTGAAGCCTGTCCGTCAGGCAGACGATGGAATTTTGCAGGTTCATGACGGCATCGGTGCTTTGTTCCTCCTCAGATAATGTCATAATGACGAGTTGGAACTGAAGACAGATAATCAGGACAGCTACAGTTGCGATGATCTGCTGTCGCTGACGACCTTGGGCTTGAATCACACGAGGAGTCATGTTAGAAGGAGAGCTAGAGTCTAGAGACTATTGAAACTCAGTCACAACGATTTCCACTCCAACAGAATTTAAATAATTTGATAATCCTATACATAAACAAAAATAAAATAAAACAGTTGTTTTGCAGCGAGCTCTATGCTTACCTTGATACCGGGATACTCCATTGACCCTCTCTTACCCAATCTACTCCGTAGAGTCAGGGAGTAGAAATTCCAAGTTGTGTTCTACCACATTGCATGACCCCTGAAATGATCAATCTATCCCGCCCAAACTACTTAAGTACTAGAGTTGTGTGTATCCCTGTACCACATACCAGTCATTCTCCTGCAAGAGATACTCTTTGAACTTGAAGCTATACGAGTGTGCATTTCATATGTATCAATCATTTGTTCCTATTATCAGTAATGTACATTCTTCTTCACATAGCCATACGGGTGCATATAAGTTTTGTATACATGAAGATATTAGCAAAGTCCTCAGGTAGGCCCATTCGCAGTGCAATGTTCAACGTTGACCGTCTACAAGAACATGTCAGACAAGACCAACGAGCAACATATGTCTAGACAGGTACTCACAAGCCTTGGTCTCGTACTTGCCAATACCAACGATGATGTTTTGGGGCTCCTGGGCCTTGCCAGAGAGGTAGTTCTCGATGATGCTCTTGGTGCCGTTTGCGTAACGAGCCTGGGCATCGAGAGTGGTACCAGAGTAATGGGGTACCATGCCGTTACCACCACCAAGGACGTTCTTAGCCGTGCGCAAGACGTGGTCTTTGGGTGCGGGCTGGACGTTCCAAACATCACCGGCGTAACCTGTTGACATGTGAGCTTAATGTACAGATATTAGGTGGTGTGGGTTACGAACCGTTCAGATGGCCACTTGCAAGGGCAGCAGCTACGGCGTCCTTGTCACAGATAGCACCACGAGCGGTGTTAACGAGCCATGCACCCTTCTTGAAGTGTTTGAGAAGCTCAGCGTTGACGAGATTGAGTGTACCCTCGTGCAGAGGACAGTTGACGGTGATGACATCACACTGCGAGACGAAGTCCTTGAGGTCCTCGACGCGACGAGCTTTGACGGCCTTAGAAGCAGCTATAATACATGAATCAAGCTGTATAAAATTGAGAACAGTGTGATACAAACCTTCAGGCAGGGCAGCGTAGTCGTAGTAGAGGAGCTCCTTGCAGTCGAAGGGAAGCAGACGCTGGAGGACACGGTAGCCGATACGGCCAGCACCAATGGTGCCAACGACCTTGCCCTCGAGATCGAAGGCGTTGCGAGCAATGTCAGAGACCATCCAGTCTCCACGCTCGATCATCTAATGATGAAAATCAATTAACAGAGGGAAGCGCGCATCAGCGGGTGATCATACCTCGTGTGCTGGAACAAAGTTCCTGACGAGGAGGAGGATAGACATCATAACGTGCTCAGCGACGGAGACAACGTTGGATCCTGAGACCTCCAGGACCTGAATACCATGTTTGACAGCGGCGTTGAGATCGACGTGGTCAGAGCCAACACCAGCGGTGACACAGAGCTTGAGGTTCTTGGCCTATCAAAAGTATGAATGAACTGTTCATATACCTCAGCGATCATCATACCTTCGCGATCAAGTCAGCAGTGAGGTACCCGGGGTGGAATGGAGTTGTGATCAGGATCTCAGCCTAAAAAGGAAAGTAAGCACATGCGAGTAGTGGGGATTGGATTGGACGTACATCGACGATGTGCTTTTGGAAGTCGCTGTCAGGGCCCTCTTTTGAGTCCGAAACCTACATAAATAAGTAGATCAGGTGACTGCATAAGCATACCAAGAGAAACTTTGACACATACGATGTACTCGTGGCCTTGAGACTCAAGCCACTTGCGGATACCGAGCTATATGAAAAGCTCGAGTAAGCCTCTCGGAGATAATCTAGAATTCTCAATGAGACGAACCTGGTTCTCCGTAGTACCAAGGAGACGGGGTTCGCTTGTAGCAGCATTACCGCCCTTGTAGAGGATAGCTAAGATCTAGAAGCGCAAGCGCGTCAGATCTTGTGATCGATGACAGGGACTTCACCAGTACCTTCATGATTGAGTTTCTGAGGACTGAAAGGAGATGTGTAGTTAGAAGAATGGGTGGAGAATGGTCTTAATGTCGACAAGAATCCAGGATCTTTATAGGGGGCGTGCGGGGTGTAAGCGGTCCTACTGCAATAGGAAAAAAAATGTATCAGCTGACACTGCGAGCCTACCGCTCTCTGTGCACATCATGGCCCTTCCGGTTTTAGCCTCTGATTGATGTAAACGACGTAGCAGATTCCATCGGCGCCCTTGGGGATCACATGTGCCCACCCGGTCACATCCATCGACCAAAAAATAATACCACCCTCAGATCAGCATCCATGATATCACGTTCCGGAAGAAGGCGCTCGCATGGTAGCGGTATCAATTGGAGATCTCATACGGACGGGATCGGAAGAAATCGTTTTTCACTCATCAACGGCGGACGTCCGAGTTCAACAATACTTAGTAGATTTGGCAGATGGGCCTGAGACGGTCCACGGAGTCAGCCTCGTCTCACGATCAAGTGGGATACTGCTTACCTGACACACACGCGCGTGGATCTTGTTCAGATATCATTTACGCGAGCATCGGAGCACCCCGGCAGGACTCCAGTTTTCTTTATCATTTCTGGTAAGTGACCTAGAGATACTGACTTCAGTCTACTCCATGGTAGGACAAGCAGATGCACAATCTTAATCATCATAATCAAATATTGTTGTGGAGCAACGCTTGTTCGGTTAAATTTAGTGTTTTGATGGGAACGTGTGGTTGGTTCGATCGGACGTAGTTTTGGCATTGTAACCGGTGGAAGACGCGGGGCCTAATGTATTGATATCTACTAATAATCGCTGAGTGCCATACTATGAGCTGTTCCGTTAGTATATTGTTATGGACCTATCTAGCGAACCCGATTGCTCACTATGATACGAATCATTATCCTGAGCATTCTGATGCGAGCACATAATCATTCACCAATAGGATCAGAACGGTTTGATGGCATTGCCGAGTGGGGCCTGATGTATTAATATGTATTAATAATTGCTGGATGGTATACTATGAACCGCTCCGTTAGCACATTATTATGGACCCTGACTAGCGAACCCGATTACTCACTACAGTGCAAATCGTTATCCCGAGGGTGATGCGAGCACATAATCATCATCCATAGGATCAGAACGGTTTGATGGCATCAACTCAACCTCCTCTGGTGCAGATCTGATTGACACGATCGGAGATTTGTGATGTGCATTCTTTGCAACCTCCCATTCCACCCGAATAAAGACCCACATCCATCGTCGAAAGACTTCCGCAACCTCAAGCCAAAGCATAAGAGCACTTCCTTCCGACTGAGAATGCAGATGACTTGATAGTTTAATTGACCATGTCATACGCAGCACGAGGTTGAAGAACATAACCAGGGGGTATACCAGAAGTGGGTAGAGGAGCACTGGTCGAAGCCCGTAAGGATGTGACTGGTGACGGTATATTGCGCCACCAGCAACTTGGTGGCCGGAAGAGATGTAAGACTGTGTGACAATATGTGCGTCGGAAGACCCAGAAATAGAAGGAGCTTTCGAATGGAGAGAGGGGGGCACAAGGGGTCTGCGTGACTCCGCAGATCGCGGTTTCAGAAGGTTAAGGCCCCAATCATTAGTTAGATCCCACCAGAAGGAATACAACGAGTTCACGGCCGCGGCTAGAAGCCTAAATAATTGACATAGCAGATCACTTGGCGATAACAAATTCATGAACCTTACCATAGGCGAAATAACGGATGTTCCCCATGCCATGACTCCCGTGTGACCAATTCACCCTTCACCTCTGCAAGCTCCAGTACCACAATTCTTTGTGCGGCAGAAAGAAATATCACCGGGAACGAAGATGCGTATTTGAGTGCATTGAAGAGGGGTCGCTTACTGGCGTTGGCAGGAGACCAGTACTCGATCAGGCACTGGCGGAATCGAATGATATACGGTAGACTGATTCCTGTGAATACAAAATTACACAAACGACGGGGTGGTGCATACCTCATGATCATTGGAAGTATCCACTGAGAGAGGCCATCGAGGGGTGGGGGAGACAAAAGACTTCCACCTGGAAGCAACATCCAAATAGAAAGCCAAACGTCGCCAAGGACTTTTGCGAATGAGGTGAACACGTCTGCGAATACTACATCTGAAAAATACACTGGGCTATCCATCGAAGAAAACAGACATCTTGCAGCGCTCCTGTTGGAAATTATTACAGCACTGTCATGAAGGGATTAAACAATACTCTTACTGTAGGAACAAATCTCTTTCGCGTTTTTGGCACAACTCAAATGGGCATATGAGAGTCGTTAGCACACCCAAGGAGCTCAGGGCAGGGATATATTTGAAGGTATCCACCAGGATAGTGTTCGAGTGAGTGGCAAGTCTGAAAAAAGACCATCCAGCAAAACACCAAGCTGCATATCCTGCGAATAGACGGTATACAGGCATATAAGACAGTCGTTGAGAGGAAGATAGTCGTAAAGATGAGGAGTTGGTAGGCAAAAAGGTACGACCAGGGTGCAACTCTAGTGCTGCCCCTGCGTCGATCCCAAGTAGGTGCAATCCATGGAGGTTGGTCGCCCATCCCAGTATCCCCAAGCCGATCAAAAATAATACACGAAACGGAAGTGGGAAAGAGGTAGAGAGTGGAATTGCATCACCCGAGTCCATTCTATAGATTAGGGTCACAAAGCATGGAAAGAACAAATGATACTGGCTGACACTGCGGAGGTCAGTGCAAAAAGCAAATATTCCGTTGCAGTAACCACGTGACATTGACACCTTCTACTCCAACCGCCATGGCTGAGAAGGTTGGCGCATATGGCACCAAGGCTGCTGACACTGATTTCAGGAAGAAATGGGATAAGGAAGAATATGCTGAACGGGCGCGGAAAAAGGACGAGGAAGAAAGGATTAGAATGCAAGAAAATGAGGAGCGCCTGAAACAAGGTACGCAATAATTACAGCTTGCTTTTTAGGTCGGGTACTAATACTTCGTTATGCAGGCAAGAAGCCGCGCAAGGGCCCTAAAGAAGACCTCCCGAAGCCGACAGAGCTCATGAAACGTCGAGAAGCCTCTCTTGAACTGGACAAGAATCTCGGGAAAACCATGGTTGTGCAAAATCCCGGCGCACGAGGGCCGGGGCAGCCTGGTTTCTTCTGTGAAACTTGCAATCGAAACTACAGGGACAGTACGGGTTATTTGGATCACATAAATAGCAAAGCACGTATGTCAACACAATAATTGCCGGTGGTAGGTGTTTTTAAACATAGCCATAGATCTCAGGAAACTTGGTCAGACGACCCGTGTGGAACGCTCCACCCTCGCACAGGTTCGCGCTCGAATAGCATACCTACGGGAAAAAACAAAGGAGGCATCATCCGCCAAGGCTTTTGATTTTGATCAGCGGCTTGCAGAGGTCAAGGCGAAAGAAGATGCTCGGCGAGCCGAGAAGAAGGCTCAGAAGCAAGCTCAAAAGGAGGAAGCTCGCCTTGCACTTGTTAAAGACACTGTCATGGACGGCGACGATGAGATGTCGAAGCTCATGGGCTTCGGTGGCTTTGGATCCACCAAGAAATAATTATCTGTTTATACCCACACAACCTCAAACTGTATCTGTAGCCGCAACTCACTGTATTGTCACACCTGTCTAACATGTCTGTTGTCCCTTCAAACTCGCGTCTTCGCATTCGCTAACCTAATTGCACAGCAGGTAATGTACAAATTCTGCCACCTGAATCTTGTCTACTTCTAGCCCTTTGAACTTACTATGCCCGAATCAATGACAGCGTGAACTTGACGTCTGCCACTTCCTGTTCCTCTTCGATCACAAGTTCCCCACCATTTCTAGTTTTCACATCAGCAGGCACGCTACGGATGGTCTTCTGGATGACTTCTGTGTGCTCCTTGAGGGCGTCTTGCACCTCTGCCCCCGAACCCTCCTCAAAGCAGTAGTACACGTTCATATCATCAGTGGCTTGTAGGCCAGCTTTTTTCCGGAGCTTCTGCACCCGGTTGATGACTTCTCGTGCAAGCCATTCGCTCATCAGCTCAGGGTGGACTTGAACATCCAGTCTGACCACAACGTCATTATCGGTATGGGTTGCATACTGGCCTTCAGAAGTAGGTGGTAACTCGAGGTAGCGTTGTACGGTCAGGTCACCAGTGACTAGCTCGATGCCATCAACTGTGAGCTTCCCTGAGTCGATGTATCCCTTGACATCAGCGGAGGAAACGTTGGGAAGTGCATTTTTAACGCGTCCGAGATCCTTACGCAGTTTGCGGCCTAGCGTACCCCAATCTGCGACAGCTCGGTATCCAATGCCACATGCGGCCTCATCGGTGGTAAACACCACGTCGCGTACGTTAAGCTCTGATTGGATATAACGTTGCAGAGACTGTACATCGGCGATGTACTGCTCCTCAGGATGGAAGATAAGGAGTTCTCTGAGAGGCGTCTGTGTGTCATAGATTGGCTGAAGTAATTCTCATGACGGCGAATAAAGCTTACCTTCAAGGATAAGTTATGCTTCTCCCGGATATACCGGGTAAGATCAATCACAGCTTGCATACGCTTCACCTGGCGCTCGATCACCTCATCGAAGTACTCTTCCTTGACGTCGGGGAACATCAGGAAGTGAACTGATCGTGCATCAGGAACGGAAGGATCCTCTGGGATATATTCGCGCAGAGTTTGGTATAGGTTCTCCGTCATGAAAGGCGTGTACGAGGACTGGCAAAGCATTAGCATGTTCAGTCATGGTAATTTATGCAGAACACGCACCATAGTCCTGCAAAGGGTGAACAGTGTCTCGAAAAGCGTGTTGAGAGCGGCAATCGTGTCCTCTTTGCCATCCTCACCCTTCAATCTCCGTCGGTTGAACCGGATGTACCAGTTCGTCAGCTCGTCGATAAGATCGAGGAGCCGCGGCAAGATGGTGTAGAGCCTGTAAGCCTTCATCTCATCCTTCACGAGTTTGATAAGAGATTGACACCGAGCAAGGATCCATCGATCCATGACGTTGTTTGACACAGGAGCGTGTGGGTTGTACATGAACTGCACGCCAGTAGTTTTGTCAAGAAGCGTCACTTGACCAACGAAGAATCGGACGGAGTTCAACCAGGGAAGAAGGACGCGAGAGATAACATCCCGAACACCTTCCTCGCGGAAGCGCAAGTTTTCACCCCGCACGATGGGAGAGTTGACCAGGAACATTCTGGGACAATGTAAGCTTTAAAGTAGCATATATCACTGAGTTGACACTGACCTAGTAGCGTCCGCACCGTATTGGTCAAAGATGATATGAGGGTCGGGGTAATTTCTAAGACTTTTGCTCATCTTCTTTCCATCGGCGGCAAGCACGAGACCGGTGACAATTAAATTCTTCCACGGTGCAGTACCGAAGAGATGAGTTGAGAGAATAAGCAATGTGTAGAACCAACCCCGAGTCTGATCGATACCCTCTGACACGAAGTCACCAGGGAAATTATTGAGGAAAGACTCCCTATTTTCGAATGGGTAATGTGCTGACGCATATGGCATGCTGCAATGATCACGTTTCAATATGGTTTGCAGGACAGGGGAGACGAGTTACCTTCCAGATTCAAACCAACAGTCGAAGACTTCCTCCACGCGCCTCAAGACGCCCTTGCCCATCTTCGAAGGAATAGTCAGATGATCAATTTTTTCGCGGTGAATGTCTGTAAGGCCAGTGACACCAGTCAGCTCCTCGAGTTCGGCGATGGAGCCGATGCAGACAACCTGTACTCTGATCAATTCACACCTATGCTGAAAAATGCTGATACTGACCTCTTCGTAGTCATCGCTGACCCACAGAGGTAGTGGTGTGCCCCAGTACCGGTTTCTAGATACATTCCAGTCACGCGCATTGGCTAGCCAGTTTCCAAATCGACCATCCTTGATATTTTGGGGCACCCTGATGAACATAATTGAATCAATGTCTGCAGGGAAGCGGACGGTGCACTCACCATAGCGTGTTCAGGTTGTTAGTAACAAGCTGGTCTACGATAGGTTGTACGCGGATGAACCATGAGGGCACGGCACGATAGATTAAGGGTGTTCCTGATCTGGGAAGAAGTCAACATACCGATCAATGTCCTGTCAAATGGAATGGCCTTACCGCCAGCAGAACGGATAGGAATGCTTGATGGTCGATTGCACGATGACACGACCTTTCGCCTTCAAGACCTTCATGATCTCTTTATCTGCAACCTTCAAACCAACGGTGAGCCGCCAAATAGTTCAATCAATGAATAATGACAAACTTTGATGAACATGCCCTCGAAATCGGTGACTGGCTTGATGAATTTACCACCATCGTCTAAGGGGCAAGGAGGCATCTCTTCGGGAGCAAGGACACCATTTTCGATAGCAACGCGAGCGTCATCTTCACCAAATGCCGGGGCTTGCTGTACGATACCTGTACCGTCCGTCGCCGTGACATACGTATCCACAAAGACGCGAAACGCGCGATCTTTATACTGAAGGACGGTCAGAAAATGTACGAAACAAGGAAGGTATTTCATGTACCTGTTCTGTGAAATACTCGAAGAGTGGTGCATATCTCCATCCCTTCATCTCGATACCCTTGTAAGATGCTAGCTTCTTGAATTTGGCTTTCTTTGGATCTTTGTAGAGAGTCCCAAGAAGTTGATCACAAAGTATATAATTTGCGTTGTGTTCTTCATCATGAATCTTGATGTAAGTGAGTTCGGGGTGAACACACAGCGCTAGATTGGATGGGAGGGTCCATGGCGTAGTCGTCCATGCTAGAAGCGATGTACTAGGATCATCGACTAGCGGGAATGCGATGGTAACTGCAGGATCGTTTACATCCTTGTAATCTAGCCCTGCCTCGAAGTTGGAAAGTGGGGTGGTGCATCCCGTAGAATAAGGCATGACGCGCTGGCCACGATACACCATGCCCTTTTTCCAGAGTTCTGAGAATGCCCACCATTCACTTTCCATGAAAGGCGTGTTTAGCGTTTTATAGTCGTTGTCGAAGTCAATCCATCGGCCCATGCGCTCGACAGTGATGCGCCACTCTGACGCGTAACGCATGACGATGGCACGACATTCTGCATTGTATTTGTCGATTCCCATAGCCATAACGTCTTTCTTTCCAGTGATTCCAAGTCTCTTATCGATCTCATGCTCGACGGGGAGACCGTGAGTGTCCCATCCAAATCGACGCGTGACATGATGGCCTGTTACATGAGCATGTCGAGTGACTATATCCTAGATCAAGGAAGCGGACGTTAGGAGATCGACCAACAATAAGGATCAGATATTAGTGGGATCACATACCTTGATGGTACCCGCGAGAAGGTGACCATAGTGAGGCAGACCAGTCGCGAAAGGAGGACCGTCGAAGAAGACATATTCTGGTTTGCCTTCGGATAGCTTCAAACTTGTCTGGAAAGCATCTATCTCGCGCCAGTAGGCGATAACCTTCTCCTCCTCCTTTGGGAAGTTGAATGGTTGGGTTACTAGTTCGAAAGACGCTGATGAGCAACATGATCTACGGGCGCAGTGACCAAACTACCCACTGTCTTGTTTTGGGAATGACATTCTAGTATCTTGACTTCAGCAATGGTGTGATCTGTATGAGTAGCCCTGACGCGATGAAGGAGATTCTTTTAAGATGATATCTTGATTTAAGGTGTGACTCGAGTTTTGGATTCTGACTCGGATATCCAAACCAAAATAAACAGGGTATGTATGTCAACAAGAAATGTAGATCATGGACTTGGACCAGTAGCGCTCGCGAAAAATACAATACAAGCTGAACAGCGTAGATCGATGGATGTGACAATCAATTCAATTCACGGTCATCGTAAGTACTATCTTGTAACCCCTTCGAAAGCAAAATTTTAGACCCCGCGTCGACAACTTTCGGCAAACAGCGACCCGAGTCACTTCGGTCGAGCCACGAAATTCGACGCATAAGTAATAACTGCGACGAAGGTCGGTGAGTAGTCAAGTTCTCAAATTTTTGAGACGTTGCGCAGGTTTCGCACGTCGCTGAAGATTTCTTCCCGTGATGTATCATGGCAATCGAATTCTATAAACTGTTTCACATTTAATGTTCAATGACTGTCGAGCCAGTCCAGGGCTACATTTCACGGAAGTCGTTCGAGTTTTTTTGGAACATCTCTTTTAAGGTAACGTTAACACCAATGGATCCAATATGTGCCCTCAGAGTTTCGGCATCCCTAAAGCAACCGAAATCAAGTTTCAAGTCATCACTGAATTTCATTCCCCCAGCAGCACACATCGCTTGTCATGACACTCTCCTGAAGTCCAAGGGAAGGCGCGAGCTGAAATCGACTCAAGCATGCGTAATGATGGGCTACCCACTTTTGCAGACCGGGAAACTTCGCCGTACATTAAAAAAGGCTCCGTTATTGTCTCATTCATTCTCTGAAGGGCAATGTCGCGTGACTGTGTCGGCACTGGCCAGTTTGACCCGGGACGATGCCTACTTGCCGACCGCAAGGATTTCAGGGAGTCCTTTCTTCGGGTTCGAAAGAAAGTTTTTCGTATAGATTATTGTAGCAACACTGCGTCTCGTGAAGGCCAAAGACGCGAAACGTCGACTCATCGAAATCACCTCAGTGATTGCAAATGGTATTGTGTCGTGAGTTTCTTGATTCGATGTACATTATTGCCACTTGGCTTTGACCTTGTAGTTGTCCAGCACCATCCACGCGTTAAATCCCCGATACGGAGAAAGCAAAGTTGTTCGACGTTCAACGAGTAGGGTCCGTTTTTTTGCCGGTACACTGTTTATAGTCGTGCGTCGATGTAATTCATTTTTGACCGAATTTGTAAAAATCTATGACTCTCCGAGTTTGCTCCGAGTCGATCTCTGATGCCCAAACCCCATTCCTTTCCTTCATTTTCCCATCCGATATTTGAATTGTACTTCTTTAAATTTAAGTTCTTAAGCTAACACAGCTGGACACTGATTGACAATGGATTCCGTACAGCACTTGACCGTTACAATGCTGCCGCACGTTTACTCTCTCCTCCATGTCCATCCCTCACATGGGAAGAGGTAGTCGACTATGCCTTTCTCTTGACTTCGACCTCCTTCGTGATGCACGTCAAGATGTATCACAGCGTCCTTGGGCAACTCCAACAGGCCGCCTCACCATGGATACTTACTTCAAGATGCACCGTGCGGCGTGCGCAGGAGGAGATCCAGTGTCTCAATGTGGAGATCAGATGAGTAGCTACATACTTGCACGATGAGAACAAGTACTTACTCGGGTGTGAAAATCAACTTAAACCCTGCGCTCGCTCATCGAGTGGGTTTGCATCGCAAGGTTCGTGCGAGGCTCGCTGGACATCATATTCGTCGCCTGCAGGAAATAAGCGTGCTGGAAGGCTTTTCGGGGAGCATCATGCCAGGCACAAGCATCGAACAAGGACCTGGTTCCAGCGCAAGTATCCCCACTCTGTGCATTCCCTCTAAACTCACTCATAATGGTCTCTCGATGCCGCAGGAAGGTGCAAATGACTTGGAGGAGGACCACGAGGAAGAAGAGGATATAAAGGTCGATAGTGAAGAGCATGCTCGCATTCTTGAAGACATTTTGCAGGTGACTTCAGACATTTAATTATGTGTAGCGTAATATACACAGTATTTGAGCTGTATAACCACCCTAAAGACTTTACATGTTTTGTACTACATACCTGTCAAGGTCTGCTCCAAATCCATGCTCTCCATGGCAAGATACACGAGCTCGCTGTCTCAGACAGCGAGCACGACGCTGACGTGGCTCGGTTACCCTTGTCCGGAAGTCGCCGGCATCCAAATATAGTCAGAATGTCTAATATTAGGCATGCGGGTGCAACGGCCTAGGGCAGGATACTCCCGAGAACGAACTCAACGCTGATCTGAGGCTCCCCAATATTCAGCCTCTATTCATTTGGGTGGGGAGAGGCAGAAACATATCGACTTAGATACGCCATCACCTCCAGCAACAATACACAATGTAAATACCATTTTTATCTTGGTAAACTCTTACTTACCGCCGTCTTCACAGTTTTTACAACGATCCTGTTCCTCCTTCGACCTCAAGATGTGTCGTCGCCCACTGTTTGCAGGTTGTGAGTGTATCGATTCTCTCTCGGGCTCGAGATATGCTGACGAGTCGTCGCGCACTGTTCGCAGTATGTGAGTGCGTCCACCCTCCTTCGAGCATGCTGATCCAAATCGTCGCTCACTGTTCACAGGATGTGAGTGCATCCACACTCCTTCGAGCTCGAGCCATGCTGATCCGAGTCGTCGCCCACTCTTTGCAGCGTCTTACATATCATTCAATCGGTCTTTGCTTTTTCTCGCTGCCATCTGATGGGTGACTTCAAGTTGCGCTCTCACTGCGCAGAACTTAGATGTTGTCGGTCGTTGGCATAATGGTGGTCGAATCAAATTCGTAGACGCGAGTGTTTTGGAGCGCATCCATCCTCGCTTTATCTAGCAGCTAGCTATTGTATGTGCACCTTTGTTGAGAGTCGGAAATAGGTGGGAGCCGTATGTCCTGGTTGCATATGCCATTTCAGCTAATTTTCCGATCCTCCTTTTATGCTCGTTGCCAACGATGACGGTCCCTCATACTATTCGCCGTCTGGTGAACATCTTGTACAACAGCAACTTATATTACCCAATCGTACGAAACGCATACTTAATAGAACGAAAACGTTGCTTCTCGTCGTCGTCGTCATCGGACAGCTTGTTGTCTAATAGATGTCACTGATATTAATTGGCTAGTAGGATATGCTTTGGAGTTCAGGTACGTACTTAGTTTGTCGGCTGCAAGTCTATCGCAGTCGCACTTCGTCACGAAAGAGAGCTTGACCTCTTCATTTAGAACACCATGTCTTCGTGGCACGAGTATCGAAAAGCGCAGATACGTGTTTACTTCTGTCTGACATCAACCTTAGTTTTTCTACCCTCGGGTAGTTTCCAGGCTGCTGATCGCAGTGGAAGGGATAGTATGCTTGAACAAGGCATGGTGATAGTATATTTCACAAAATGTTCACGCTAATTCCAATATACAAAGAACTGTAGGTGAACCGATTGTTTCCTGATGTGCGTCGATAAACGCTACAAATCACTAGTAACCCAAGCATCAGCGTCAACGGCCATACTGCATCAATGTGAGACCAAAAACACGACTCACAAAGCATAAAAAAAACCACTGCCATAAATTCAGATAAGTCATGTTCTCAATTCCGGGAAAATGCTAATACGCACGCATCTATCATACCAGCACTTTGGATTAACGCAATCTTCGTCCCATAAGCAACCACGGACACAAAGATCGCCAGCCGTGTCGCTGGTTGCAGAGATTGATGATGCTAGGGCAGTGATGACGGCGAAGACGATTAAAGAGGGGAAACGCATCCTTTGTGACTTGTGTGATATAGGATCGGTAAGTTTGAATGGCGATGGTAGGAAGACGGCTGGCTTTTATACTTTGCTCTTGAATCAGAGTTGCGTGGATTTACCTCTGAGTGGATGCCAGCACATATGTGGTGCGCCAGCAAAGTTTATCGGCAGGACCATTCGCATTTCCAACCAGCTGTTGGGGTCACAATCGTAAGTATTCTGCCAACGTCATGTTGTAATTTCTGCCGTAGGAAGACTGGTCAATCTCGGATTCAGAGACCAGTTTCCTTTTCAAGTAGTATTACTCCTATGAACTACAATCTACTACGGTAACTACAGTAGTACCTGGTAATAGCGCTATATAGCAGTATGTAGATAGTGACCTCAGTTGCTATATATATGGCATGTAACTAAAGTGCTACTTATTTTTCGGTAATTTTTCTTGCTTTCCCATCACTTCACTTTCTATCGTTTTCGTGTCCTACTCACATGTTCAAGGCTTTTGCATGACTCGTACTTTGATTGACTTTATCTTTCTTTAGACTTTCACTACGCATTTTCATCCATTTTTACAACTTTTATAGACAGCGTGGTGCTTTATAAGATGCTACTTTCATCCCTCACAAGTTGTGGAAAATGAGTGAATAATAATAATAAAAGTGAAGAAACAGAGCACGAGTGGCCTTTTTTAAACTTTCTGCCAGTTCTCTAAATTACTAGTATACTAAGTTCGTCTTTTAGCTCGAATAAGTGAACATTAAGGGACGCTAAGAGACCCGATTTTTTCTTGATGGATTGTTTCCTGATGTGCGTCGATAAATGCTACAGATCACTAGTAACTCACGCATCAGCGTCAACGGCCATAATAATACTCCACCGATGTGAGAGCAAAAACACGACTCACTATGCATATAAAAAACCACTGCCATGTATGTAGATAAGTCATGTTCCCAATTCTGGGAAAATGCTAATACGTACGCATCTATTAGACTCGCGACCTACTCATAAGCGCAATTTGGATTAGAGCATTGATCGTCCAAGTAGCACAAACGGATACATTCGTCAGCCGTGTCACTGGTTGCGGGCATGGCAGAGATTGATGATGCTAGGGCAGTAATGACGGCGAAGACAATTGGAGAGGCGAAACGCATCCTTTATGACTCGCGTGATATAGGCTCGGGTATTTTTGAAGGCGATAGTAGGAAGACGTCTGGCTTTCATATTTTGCTCTTGAATCACAGTTGCTTGAATTTACCTCTGAATGGATGCCAGCACATATGTGATACTACATAGTATCTTGCCAGCAAAGTTTATCAGCAGGTGTGGAACGACTGACAATTCGCATTTCCAACCAGCCGTTGGCTTGGTCACAGTCGTAAGTATCCTGCGGCCTAGTACAAGCCTGTAGGTGCGAATCTTGACATGTTGTGATTTCTGCCGTAGGAAGACTGGTCAATTTCGGAGAGTGGTCCATGCAATGACCAGTTTCTTTTTCAAGGTGACTGTCGATGTCACGGTGTGTTGAATGGATCACATCCGACGGAACGAAGTCACATCAGGCACCCGGGCCAGCATTTCACAACGCCCATCTCTCCTTCAAAATTGATTCTGGCAGATGAATCCATCAAACATATCATTTGTAAACTTTGGTGACGGGTATATCCACTGTGGGGTGGTACATCGCCGGTGGCTCCTTGTGGTCTATGATTGTTCCAATGTTTGACTGTTCTTGACTTTGCAAGGTCAACGGTACAGATCCCGATGTGCGATGACTATCCGGGATGACTTTGTGGGGCCAATTTCCCATTGGATACGAAGCGCGTGCTGATTCTCCATGTGGTTATCCCGTTCTCCTGGCGTAGTTTTGAATAGGTGACCTGGGTTGGTACAGGGGGAGTGAAGGGCGAGCGAAGGGCGAGCGGAAAGAGACGTATAGGATACACATACTATGGTGATCCTTGGTAAATAATACAGACGTGGATTAATAAAGATAGTACGACAAGACAACTGTCCCTCAAGACCCTCGCTTTGCATATTCTGGACATTGCTCTCTCATGAATTTCTCAAGCTTCACCGCATTCCTGTGGTATATCGATGTTTCTGGGTTGTACAGCTTGCAATTATCGACCACCAGTTGAACATCATCGAGAAAAAATTTCAGTGAGGAGTACTGATTCGTGTCCAATTTGTGCTCCATTGTGCTGAAATCTAATGGAGATGTCAATGCAAAATATACGACACAGAAAGTTCAGCACAGACCCATAGGTCTCTTGATGACACCGTAGTAATCTGGGACCTCATCGGCGTTGACTGGGTTTAAGAAAGCCCAGGCTAACGGATGGGCTTTGAGATCGGACAGGAGGCGCTGCATTTGTGTATGCTCGGCGCTTTTCCCGGAACGAGTGCTGCAAGAAGTTACATACGACCGACTCATATCACGAAAGGTGACCCACCTGTGTTCCATGCCAGGCGTCCAACCGCTTTCTCCTGCAACAAAATGGAGGCGCCAGTTCACTTAAAGAAACGATGACGTACTTAGCCCTGGGACTTCTTTAGGATCTACCGTGAGTCCTTCCTCGGCACCTTCTTGGAATTGCGGAAGACCCTGATACACGATGTGCGACTTGGACATCTCACGGATCTTGGTGAGAATTGCCTCCCGCTGCTGAGCGATGATGCTGACTTTTTCAAGATAGTTGACCTTGCGCAACATGGTGCATTGCATGATCGTCCCGCCCTCGTAGTCCTTGATGTACCCAGCCCACACAGAGCGATCAAGTGTGATCTCTTTCGAAAAGCCTTGCTTCTTGAAGAATACTACAGCAAAATTGTCGGCGTAGGTGAGGAAGTGCATCACATCTGGGTATGTACGTTTGATGTGTTGTTTGAAGTTGTCCATGAGCATGCCACCGTAGCCCTGTCAATAGAAGTCGTAGTCGCATACATGATGTACGAGGCCTTTGCGTACCTTTACTTGGTCCACCGATGCAGTAGCGAAGAAGACGATCTCCGCAAAACCACGATGTGGGAAAGGTCTGTAGCAAATACCACCTACGACCTTATAGCCACGTTTGATGATCGCGAGTGCTTTCGAGTTATGGTCATAGACTAGACGCGCAATGTACTCGCGCGGCATCATAGGCAACTGTGTTTGGAACAAGGTCTTTAAACCTGTAAGAATAATTGTGGAACGCGGCTGTCGGTCGTTCTCCACTGCGGTTATCTCAATAATGCCCTTGCGCAGCTCCACGAAAGCAGCCTTTTCAGGCTTGTGGGTAGGCTTGAATAGCATGAGCAGTCGGTCAAGCGAGAAATACGATAACACTCACTGCAGAAGAGGATGTTGGGCCCGTGTCTACCGTAACTCCAGTCGCAAGGCGTGTGAGTTGACCCTCGTCCATCTTGTCTTCGACCTTGACTTTAAGATCCTGGCTGCGACCATTGACAACACCATTCTTCTCTGGCCTTTTTTCTCCTGTGGGGGCGGTCTGCGCTTTTGACTTCATACTGGAGGTCTTCTTTCCGCTTCTTTGCGTCAGAGTCTTCCTAGGGGCCGTTCCAATGGCCGCTGCATTTGAATCTGCAACTTGGGCGGCTAAAGGTTTGTCGTCGTCATCATCTTCATCGTCATCCTCCCCTTCTGCATCGCTGAGTGAAGAGGAGGACAGTCGTCTACGTTTTGAAGGTGGAGGTTCGTCACTGAGTACGGAAGAAGCTGAGGACATTGGTCGATCAACTGGAGAAGATTGTTCTGAAAAACTTGAGGCGGTCGCAGGAAGGATCGAAGTAAATGACATACGGATGGAAGGAGACGCTATGCTAACCATAGAGACCGGCATCTTCATTTGTTGCCTGAGGGAGTCTATGTCTTCGTCTGTGTAGTTGAAATCAAGCTGCCTGTCTGCCTCCTGACACGGTGCGCGTGTTGTCAGCGTGTGTATAATGACGTAGAAGAAGACGTACTTGCAGAAGTTCGTCGATACGGATTGCAAGACGTGCCCTGCGAGAAAACTCATCTCGTCCTAGGATGGCTAATTGACTACCGTGGTCTGCTACATCGTGGCCACATATACATGTTTCGAGGTATGTGGGGCCATCCTCTTCGTCCGAGCCGTATTGTGTTAGATCGCCGAGTAGAGACTTTTGGTGGACTTCATCGTCTAGAACCACCTCAACGCTTGCTGGGGGTCGCAAACCAGGGCAAGAATCACATGCGGTACAGGAAGAGTGCCGGGCTATCCTGAGTGCGAGTGCAAGGTCACTGTGGTTAGCTTCAGATAAACAAGGATAAGATAGTCTCATGGGAGGGTTGCGTGCGAGCCAATTTATTGAAGCGTCAGACTATTACTGTAGTCATTTCCAAAAGCAGCGTGCCCCTGAAGCTATGCTCTCTTCAGGTATTTTGGACACACCAGGGCTGCCATGTCACGCCGTGTCAACGATGGGATGATGGCGTCCACCAGTATGTGTCTCGCGGATCTATAATCTGCTACATATAAAAATTCTGACATATTCAACACGACTCGCAAATATTCTAGCCATAACTCCTGCATCAGCGGTCTGAGCCACCAATCAAAAGTGTCCTATATCTAAATCAGGGTGGCCGTTACCCCAAACAAGTGTCCTGCAAAGTGCAGGTCCTCAGATTCTCTGATGATTCGAACACAAGTCTTCCACCACCTCTCCTGCCCTAATCCCCATCACACTCAATAGTGTCTCTGTCAACCCATGCGTTTCCTCTGCACAACCTTGCAAATAGATCTTTGGAATAAATTTATCACTAGCCGTTGGTAGTGGAAGAAGTCTGTAACGTCGCGATACATAGAGTGTATCTGTCATGCTGGTGAGAACGATTCTCAGTTACTCAGCGGAAAGTAGGTGGCGTACCGGAAACTTTGGTATCCATAGATGCATATGGTATATGTATCCTCTCTGCATTGGTACCCGTGACCGGTGTCTGTGAATGTCCATTTATTCCGTTCGCGGCCGCTTTAAACGTGCCATTCTTTCCGTTTGTAGTCACGACAAAATCGCCATTCTTCTCGTTCGTGGCCGCTCCAAAATCGCGTTCCACAGAGATGCGCGTCTTGTCTGAACTAGCGCGCAAGCCGAAGTGCTTGCCTAAGCTGGATGATCTCAAGAGGTTCAGCCACGAATTTCGCTCGTAGCCAGTAGCGCAGACAATGGCATCGTATGTCATCTCGGAGACATCTTGTGTGAGGGTATTCTGTAGAAGAACCGAAAGTGTATCTGTATTCATCTCTGCGGAGGCCTGCAAAGGATGTGTGCTGATCTCCGCTGACGATAGGTTACTATAAGTTACGATGGTGATATGTGCACTGGTCATGGGGAGCGCATTTCCTCGGCGTTTAGCGATGTCGCCGTCTACTTTTTGGTCGTACATGACTTCGTAAAGCTGTTGTCGCATTTTTGAATCGTAATCAATCAGCAAAAGACATGCAACTCACTGAATCAAGCGTAAGCGGATTTACAACCCCGTAATTCGTGGCCTCGTATTCTGCCATCACTTTTCTTCGAGAATCGCTTGGCAAACCGTACATAACATCCACATGTTCCGGATTGTATACCTGGTTCGCAAAGGGACCGGTATTGCTCGAATTCAACGAACCACCACGAATGATGAGGTGGAGGTTGTGCACTTGGCCGGCACTCTTACCCATGCTGGTTAGCCGTGAATGAAGGTCGAGCAGTACTTCTACTGCGGACTGCCCAGCACCGACAACCGCAATTTTGAGTGGCCGAGGGGTAGCCAACATCGTGGCCAACATCGGTTCTACAGAAGATAAGTACGCAGAGCTATGAATGATGCGAGGATGGGGTGAAATGTTCTGAATACACCTCGGAACCCATGGTGAACCTCCTGGCGAGATGATTAGATTCTCTAAACAATCCCCAATCAATTTTTGCATAGAGCCATTGAAATGAATTGATGCTCACTTGCACGACGAATTCTAGTTTCTCCAGTGGCGAGCACCCTGCTATGGATCTGCACGGTACCTTCACCCCCTTCTTCGATTGCAATGACATTCTCGCCATACGCGACATTGATGCCTTGACCTTGCACGTATCGTGCGACGTAGGAAAGGTAATCTGAGTATTCCTTCCGCGTCGGGCTAACGCACCCCCTGTTGATGAAGTCCACCAAACGGTTTTGGGAGTGCAAGTATGCAATGAAGGTGATAGGAGATTGTGGCGACCTCAATGTCGCCAAATCTTTCAAAAAACTTGCGTTCCTCTCTCTCAGTTTCAAGATGCGGTTGACATTGAATTGCACTTGCCTGATCTGCATACGGGTGCCTGGGAGAAGCATACCCGGATGCCATTTGAATTCATGATGTCGCTCGATAAAGAGGGATTTGTTCACAGATATCGGGCAGGTCTAGGATGCCGATGAGTTCCACATATGGTACTGGTGCATTGGAATGACCTACCTCTCTTGGTTGTTCCAGTAGTGCTCCAGCGACAGAAAGATTTGCCGGGCCAAACCCCAGGCCAATGAGATCGTACACGCCTGGATGCGTTTCAGATGATGTCATGATGGGGAACGCTGATCTGAGAGTTTGTGAAAAGTAATGAGCTACACCGGAAAGTAGTAGCAGCCTATAATCACAGATGGTGACCTAGCCTGAGGATCGATGTGTGGACGAGTGCAGTCGATTTCGGATGATGATCAATAATCGTCGTATGGGTGTCATGGTTTTATAGCATCTAAAATCCGAATTGCGACGGCACCCGCTCGATGCCTAGTATGATGGTATTAGCGTCTATTGAACTAAAAGCACCCGAGTCAAATGTTATGTAAGGCCTCCGGAACAACAGTCGTCGGATAATGAATATGGTCGTTTATCGGTTTATCGTTTATCGTTCAACTTTAACTACACACTCCCGCAAGGGTCAATGTCCGACCACTAATGATAGGCCACGTCTGAAGAGTCCCTGACTGCTATCGACAAAAGGGGACGACATATCGCTGGACACCTTTCCACACAAGAAGTTTGATGGCGGTTGGTCGTATAGGGTCATGGCAGTACGAACTACCACGATCTTAGTAGATGTCTATAGGTACCGGCTCCAATGTTGTCGGAGTTTTATGACTACCTCAGGGGGAGAGAAGGACACAAGTGGCTGGCCCAAGAGACGTTGACAGGTGTGAGGGGTGAGATGGGGAGCCAGACTTTCGGTCACGCCTGGCTGAGTAGCTCGGACGGTGGGGAGACTGCGCGGCCGTTGAAATTTGAAACCCATTCACTCTAGTGTTTCTGCCAAAGTCAGAGCAAAGTCAGAGAGTAAAGGAGCGTCAATGGCTGCAGTGAGAATGTCGGCCATCGGGTCATTCTGTGAGGGTTTCATTAGAAATTCAAGGTTGTCACAGTCATGACAGGCCGACGCCACATTAGCGCATGTGGTATGCACATAGACGATAACGGCCTCTCATTTGGTATACTGCATCAAACATTACAAGTAGTCGGTCACGGTAGACGCCGACGGAATGTACCTCAGCAAGGGGAATTTCCTCATGGGTTTATTCTATCTGATGTCACCTCTCAAAGGAAACGGCGATCAGTAGTGTGGGTAGGATATTTCTGCAGTAGAACCCAAGACATTAATATTGGCTGAAAGTTTGTAGACCAATAGGAAACACACTATTTGATCACATCGGAGCGGTTGTACACGTCCCCGTGTGTGTCATTGTACGATGCACGATTGATTGATCCATCATCACGACCTCACCAGTCATCAGATTCTAGCACAGGGTCCTTGGTCGCCAGGCTCACAAACAACGATCATAAACTTTGCCTAGTAGCAGGAACAGACTCACTTTGATTGATTGCCGGCACTTGTTTTGCTGCCTCTACAAAGTACATTGTCCGAACGCTGTGCAGTGTTTAAATCTCGGGCCGGTGGACTTGTTGGATCCCGATGGCTTGGGGCGAGCGGTGGTTTTCCTTTGCAGAAAGTCTGGGCGATAAAACGACGATTTTAATTGGCTGACCATGCTAGTAATGTGACTTGCGTGACGTGACGGTGAAAGCCGCGGCTCGGCTTAGCCCGAAACTTGAAATTGACACGCCGTGGACATACTCACTTTCAAAGTTTGTGTGCTTCAGCAGTTTCTCCTCGATGCATCATTTGATCGTTGCACGTGCCGGCGTTGTCCGAACCTTTGCAACGTCTCTAGCACGAAAGAAACTCCAAAAATAGAGTGGCTATAACGATATAGTATTTATACCGACGGAAAAGTCCTCATCCCGCGATTCAAAGGTATACCCGCAGCTCAGTTTGACGCTGACTAGAATCTGAGCAGCGAAGAGCGCGAGCGCATGTGCTCCTGAAATTCAAACGACCCCATAAGGAATTACTTGTTTAATTTTGAATGTAGTTGAAATTTGACAACATTCTAGTGGGGAATTGGTAATCGGACTCTAGTACTGCTGGCTAGCTCCACGTGTGGGTGTAGGTTTTCTACAACAGTTGGTCAACGGAGCTTCATCGATCATAAGCTTTCGCCGGGGCAATGTTAACTCTGTAGTCGTGTGATTTAAATTCACCATCAATGCCATGTCATGAGGTGTACTTCCGATGTTCTCGCCTCGATGCATTTTTATCTGACTGGTGTAAGCACGCCGGCTTACCTGATTTCTCATAATCAGTACATACACCGTCAGGCTAAGCTTTCAGTATTCGACCTTTTGATGTGATGGTTGCAGGCGGCGGTCTGACCAAGACTAAGTTAGAACTCATCAGATGATGTCGGCTCTAACCAGAACCTTCCGGATCATGCAGGACTGATGGATGGTGTAAAAGACTAGGGTTTGGGATAAACCTATCCGGGCTAATATTAACAAGCTTTTTAGCCAGGTAGGCCTGAGGGTCATATTAGCTAGCGGCTTTTATAGACTGGTGACCAGCCTGTCTATGAGGTAAACTGCGGCTTTTAGCGAGCAAAGAAGTCGCTACAAACTCTGGCTAATCAGCCAGCGCAGAAAAGACACCTAAGACCATTCCGCTGGCCATTCATCACCATCATCAAGCTCCTGTATCTTCTCAGCCTTACCCTTACCCTTATTCCTGCGCTGTCAGAAGCCGAGGCAGCCGACCACCAGGAACCCATCAGCTATCTCGGGTTCCGCATCGAAAAGTTTGATGTCGTGGAACTCTCCCCCCCGGGCCACATCATAGAACCAAGTATTAGCCTTGTTTTCTTAAATCGCTTCATCTCCACCATGGCTGTTGGTCGACAGTAGGCCGTCCATCGCATCATCATGTTCCCGTTTGTCCTCTTTCGAATTTTACCCAAATATTCAAGCATCAATGTCGGAGAAATTGATGGTCGGACGCTCTAATTATGCTCGGGTGAGCAAGGAACTGAAAGTATCGGTGAGTATTTACAGCAGGATCATACATATACCACTGTCGGATTTGTGTCATATCCATCAGGGTACGGACATCTTGACAATTTCGCAGCGCGGAGTTCATGCGCGTAAACACGGACATTCATTGTACGATCGAGCTAGGCCGAATGGAGAATGTCTTGACAGCATGTGTTTTTATCAGAGTAAAGCCCCCTCGAGCCTGACTGGCTAAAGAGCTTGCTAATAGTAGCCCGAATAGTTTTATTCCGAGCCTTAGTGAGGGCTCGTGGCCACCACACCTATAGTTAATAGCACACTAATTAGCAAGCAGTTTCATCCCGAACCCTATGAAAGACGGTTCATCAGTCCGTACTGACTAGACAATTAGATAGAAGTTTGGAATTTCAAACCAAAAGACACTGAAAATACTTGTGGCACTGTTAGAGAGCTGGCAACTCGCTTGATCGCAGAAGAGAAATGAACCAGGCTTACTAGTGGACCTTGGTGACATGCAAGAAACACCCGAATCATCGATTGAAAGGGAATCGTTGATCGACTCGTTGTGATTTCTGGCTCAAGGGTGTGTTACGAGACAACATTATCTTGTTCATCACCTCGTTTACAAGGTCGTTGACTAGTAGTACTCATCAGTACTCACAGTACTCACAGCTTGAGATTTTGGTGAAACGATAAAATTATGGGGACGTCGAGACTTAGGCGGTCGTGGCTTAAGTCATCGTGCCTGAATCGGATCTCATCAAAGCGTCGCATGTGCGCTTGTGGGACCGCGCGAGATGTAATTCCCGGCTCCCACAAAGTGTGGAGCAAGTGTGGAGGAGGCTTTGTCGAATGCCAACGGTCAGGTCTTCAGGCACACCAGGCTGTTCCCGCGAGAAAATATTACCGTTTCTGTCTTTGCTTAGTGCGCACGCGACAACTCCTTCAAGTTTGTATTGATTCCAATTTCCGTAAGACTGACCGTGACTGATGTTCCCAAGTATGCGTTGCTAATATTGTATTATCATGATCAAGGTTCATCCTTTTGTATTCGCTACAGCCCTTGAAGTTTGTACGTGGTTCTGTCTCATCAACCACGTCAAGTCATGTTCGAAGTGTGGCTCAGAATTTTCAGATGATTACGGAGACAGGCTCAGTGACATTTGACGGTGCGAATATGTGTGTCGTGGATGCCTTTTGCTCGTTCTCACTTCGAGGGTGCTTGTTACGTCCAATGTAGAGTGTCGCATCCGAAGTTCTGGTATACCTGGGATAGGATCACTTATTTTCACGCGCTCGCTTTGAGATGGCATCTGTATCCCGGGGCTTTGCTCATCAGCTTAGCGTGATTCTTTCGGATATGCATTCGTCTCTCGTAGCCGCGCGTCTGCTCATATGCCTTCGTGTCATGCAGATGACCCAAGTACGCCGTCGGCTCCCGCTCTCCTAGTGCCTTGGCTGCCACCGATCCTCCGCATGCGTCAAGAAGGACAGAGGTGACTGACAACTGATATTGTAGTGCAGGTATATGGGGAATGTGGAACGGGCCGAGCAGACGTAAGAACATACTACCTGTAACCTAGGGCAACCTCGATGACTCGCGAATACACGAGGCGTTGGGCAGACTGACAGATTAAAGCCAACGAGTCTTTACACGAACACGACTGGATGGATGACATTGACCATTCTCGTGTGTCTGAGGGAAATTGGGAGAAGCTGGAATCTGGGTTGCTGTGAAGAATGTTGGACATGACTCAGACTGGGAAACGCCAGCCGGACACCAGAAATGAGTAGACATGTATTGCACAGATCGTAGAACGTTCAGGGAGTCGGGGACTGGAGTAACGGCGGTTCGCTGCCGCTACGATACCCAATTGCACATTGTACATGTACTCGCAAAACCAGTACTACGATCATGATGGTAGGATCCCCGATCCCGGCTGCTCCCTATCCGCAAAGTTTTTTCTTGGGGCTGGGGTGCACTCCGGATATGCTTGATTCCCGAAATATACCAAAGAGCATTATCCGCAAAAATTTCGTGCTATCATATGTCGGACATAGTTCAGATTGGCCTACATAGTGAATCATTTTGTTGCTCCGCGATCAATCGGTGCTTGTGTAAAAAAAAACTGAATGTCACTTCGAGGTTTGTCGTCAGTCTGGCATCTCCTCCGATCCGGGATCCAGGACTCTTGAGGCGCTACCGACGGACATAAGACGTGCGCTACAGGCTTGCGAGACGCTACCGGTGGACATTGCAGTATAGGGAGCAGCCGAAGGTTCTTGAACTGTTAACAAGAACCCTGCCAACGAGGTTCGCTGTAAAAATGACGGATACGAATTGAAATGAATTGCCGCTCCGTCAAATAACAGGGATCCGGCCTAATTGCATTTCATTTAATTCGGGGCTATTTCAATATGTTCCGAGCCGAGGGAGCATTATAATTGCGGGTCTGACTCGGTGATGCATCGCAAGGTCACGTCGGCAATTTGGTTTGGATAAGTTTGCCTCTTAGACGGGCTGGTCACCAGTCTAAGACCTGGGCAGGACGACGAATGACTCTTCAAGGGCGTGACTTGGCGATGTGGTAAAAATGTCAAAAAATTTTCAAACAGTTGCTTAGGACAACCATGAGTACGTACTGGAAGAATGCTCATAACTGTAGTCATATTGTTACAACACAAAAGCAATGTGCTGGAGACGACTTGAATGGGTGGCACAAGAGCTGTGGTCGTAACCCAACTACGATGAGCAACAACAAGTGAAAGAGATGGGACCAAAGTTTGATGATAATTGTGCGTCGAGAAAGAGAGCAAAATTTTGAAGCGCAACCGATTTTAAGGAGACAGGAACGAGACAATGGTTCTAGGGAGATCGTTTCATATGGATAATTTTAATTTCCGCGACTTGGTCCGCGAACTTGGTTGACACCCCCCAGAGCACAACTACGAACTGCACACTTGAGAACTGCATATGGAGTCCAAGAGCCAAAACCTATTTTCAGGTGAGTTTCAACCTCTGAAGAGCTGTGAAACAAACCAGGCTGCACTAGTCATCAGCTGGACAACTATTTAGGCTCCGGATAATTGTCATGGGAAGTGACGAAATAATAACCGCAATTGCAACGGTTGGTAGCCTCGTGTATACGACGATGGAGGTACCAAGGAACAAATAGAAAAAAGATTCCACGGATGCAAATTCACGATCACATGACATTGTTGAGAGTGGAACAAAGCGGTATTCCCACGGTCGAGAAAGTGGCCCATAAACGCACTGCTGTAAATGAATTGCCATTATTTCTTTCCGAACCTTTGTTCCTCCCCAACGTTGATCACAGTGACGAAGATAACAGCGACGACGAAAACGGCACAGCGACGACATGACGGCGCTCGTCTCGACGTCTGTCCCACAGTACATACCTTCTGTACAAAAATCCAGAAATAAAGTACGCGATCAGAGCGTCTCTCCAATATCCACAGGATGTCGCACATCCCACTATCAAACTCCCCCAAAGCTCAGGGTGTCATCTGAGCATCTGTCACCAATGTTGACACCGTCTCCTCTTAGACGACGACCATTGTTTCCAGCAGATGCCAGATATAAAGCAGATGCTCCTGCTCAGAAGCAGGATCACGACGACAGCGATATCTTCTTACAATCTCCATTCAAATCACCCCCTGTAATGCACCGTCTATACCCCGTCCCACATCCTAAACCAATCATGTTAGATGACGATGAAGCGACCCTCTTCCTATCTTCGTCGTCCGCAGTACCTTCTCCTTTCTTTCATCACACGTCCACTCAGCCATTGCGTACGCCAGTCAAGGATTCGCATCGTTCCATACTAGCTGCCAAGCAGCTCAATTCGCAGCCTGCGCATCGTGTGGGCGTAGGTACCAAACGCAAATCGGCGCAATCCGGCGGTGGCGACTTCTCTACGCCTTTGCGTCCTGTCTCATCAGCCACGTGCACCCCTCTTAACATCTCTGCTCCGAAACCCGACCCTTCATCTGGTATCGCTTTTCATCGTCTTGCACCTCTGCCAGCACCTCGCTTTACACCCCAGCCAAAGAGTAAAACTGACACTGACGCATTTCTGAGGAAACAGGCAGATACAATGAAGCGGCTGCGCATTCGAGATCCTGTTGACTCAGATGAGGACTGGGGCATCATAGAAGATGAAGACTCCGACGGAGAACCTATACAAAGGCTACCTACGGTCCGCAAATGCAAATCGCGGTCCATTAGCCCGAAAAAATCTCTCCTTATCAATGCTGCGCCAGTGCCACAGAAAGGTAGCTCAAGGGATGAAGTCACTGAAGCTATCTCTCCAGGAGGGCATATTATTAAGCGGCGGGCACGTTCAAGGCCCGTTTCCATTGAACTCCTCGAGAGTGTGAACCATACACAGTCACCCAAGGTTAGAAGCCACATCGATATATATATATATTCCATTGTGCTGACAAAACTTTACTCTAGCCTGAATGTTCCAACACGAAGCCTGTGCCGATAACATTTCCTTCGGTATCTCGCGATCGCAATCGGCCCACTTCCTTTGTTGGTTCGCCTTCTCCTGTACCACGAAGACGACTCACAGGGTCCAGCGGTCCCAATCCTTTCCTCTCCGACCCTCCATCCCGCCTCAATTTGCATTCCCAGCCCCGCCCTCGTCCTTTTGCCCGAATGGCATCCAATAATTCGGCTACCCTCTTCTTCGGTCCCTCAATTCCTCAATCTGCGCAGTGCCCACGCAAGCGAACTAATTCTTCCGTCGGTGCAACCCTGGATCTGTGTACACAGTCCCGTCTCAGCCCGTCGAATCGACATAGCTATGCAGGTCCAGACTCGGCTAGTTTCTCCGTTGCCCCAATGCCATGGACATTGCGGTCAGGTTTAGATACGCCTTCACCAAACTCTTCGCCTCTGAATGATGGTCCAGGCACAGTCTACTCAGATGACGAGGATATGTTATTTGAAGGCCCAACGGAATCCTCTTTCGTATTTAGCATCACAGAAGGAACCCCTTCTCCACGATCACAGAAAGGCAAAGAAGGATTGCTACCCTCCAAGTATAAGCCCCGCGATTCTGGTATCGTCCTCAGCGACGATGAGTCGATTCCTGCGCGAAATTCGGCGTTAAGCGGGAGTTCGAGCTCTATTTACTCAGATAATGACAACGGCGATGATCTGGTTACACCTGGAATCGTGCCTGGTGCATTTTCCGGTTGGCCAAGGATCTCAGGCGTCGACGACGCGCATCTTCATTCATTCAATCAATCCCATCCATATCAATATTTTGATCATGACGAGGACGACGTCGACGCATTCATCTTACGTACCCTAGAGGCAGGTGGAAAACCTTCTGCAGCCGAAGGCAAGAAGCCCCCTGGAACGCCCGTGAAGAAGCTCAAGAGCCACTTTGGACTGGATGGTGGGCGCCCATGGCAGAGCGCTGTTGCGTCGAAGATTGGGTTCTCATTTGATAGTGCAGAGGGAGGAAAGGGGAATGCGAATGCGAAGAAGCCACGGAAGAGTTTGCCTGCTGCATTTCCTCTCCCGCTTGGGAAAGGTAATATCGTGATAACCAAGACTGGTGGATCGGATACTGAAGAGGATGACGAAACTATAAGTCCCAGTTCGAGGAAGCAGTACAAGGGTCTCGGACTTGGGCGTCCTGCTGGGAGGTGGCTCATGCGCCGCAGCAGCAGTGGGGCGTTCTCAAGTGGGGAAAGCACAAGTGGCACGCCCACAAGGCGAAACATTAATCTTAAAGGTGCGTCCGGCTCCGGATTCATTTATGATCGGTGGTCTCATTGTATTTTGTGGTTTAGATTGGCCAATGCCTACAGCTCGTACTTTGACCGTGGAGACCACGGGTTCACGCTCAAGCTCGAATAGCTCCGTGATCTCATTGAACTCCCCCACGATCGCGCGGCATTTGCCCTCAAAAACATCTGCTACTCATTCGCATTCTCCGCTTGGACCACGGTCACGGAAGATGTCTGTTATCGAGCATGCGAGGAACGTCTCGGACGCTGGCCGTTTCGAGAAGGAGTTTGTTGAGGTCGAGCAGGTTGGGAGCGGGGAGTTTGGGAAGGTCATTAAAGTGCGCGCTAAGATTGGGCGCGGGCTTGAGGATACGGTGTGGGCTGTCAAACGATCAAAGCCATTTGAAGGTCCTCGACATCGGTGGGTTGCTCTGTCATTCGCCCATTTTGTTCATTTTGACATGTGATGACAGCCTGCGACTACGAGAGGAAGTAGATATATTGGCACATCTGTCGGCGCGGGGCGCTCATCCGAACGTACTGACGTACGTTGACAGTTGGGAGCAAGATGACGCGCTTTTTATACGCACGGAGCTCTGCGAGCTTGGTAATTTTGCGAGATTCTTGTGGGAGTACGGGCGGGCCTTTCCGCGCCTGGACGAGGCGCGGGTGTGGAAGATAATGGTGGATTTGAGTAACGTGAGTATCTGCCAGTCAATGGAAAAACTTTTTTGGGTCCCTTCTTTTCTTCCGTTATACATGCATATTTTCACCAGTTGGCCCATTCATCTGGTCTGAGAAGAAGATGTTGTTTATGGTTTATCATCCACTTTCCGTGTTGACATGTCTTTTCTTGGATATTAACCTCGTGCCTGCAGGGTCTGTGTTTCATCCATGAAGCAGGGATCATCCATCTAGACCTCAAGCCGGCAAATATCTTCCTCACTCGCGAAGGCCGATTTAAGATTGGGGATTTTGGAATGGCCTCGGTATGGCCCCGACCCGGGGGCGCGTTCGAACGCGAGGGGGATAAGGTGTACCTCGCGCGGGAAGTTCTACAGGGAACATACGGCAAGGCTGCCGATATTTTCAGGTATGTCGAGCCGTGGATATGGACGTGAGCATAGAGTGGACCCTGATGTTTTAATGATCCTGCAGTCTTGGGATGACGATGCTAGAAACGGCCACAAATATCGTTGTGCCTGATCAGTGAGTTGACATGTGGTTTTCTTTTTGGAAGGTAGTGACGATTTGTTTGTAGGGGAGATGGATGGCACAAGCTACGGCAGGAGGATTTCAGCCAGATGGATCTGGATGGGAGTCCGGAGTTGTTTGCGTTGATCAAGAGCATGATGCGGACTGATCCTGCTAGACGTGTTGATGTGCAGGCTGTTTGCGCGCATGCTATTGTAAGCCGAGCCCGCGCGGCTATGGAACGCACGTACGAGGCAGCGAAACGGGATGGTACCTCGCTGTTCGCTGCGTCCCCACTTGCAGGTGTTTCCAATACGTTCTTGGAGGAGATCCTTGGCCATGACTGCGACGACATGGACCTAAGTCCATGAGAACCGAACTAGCGACGACGGAACGTCATACCCGGATGGAAGAACCCCTCAAAATGTGAAATTTTGGTTGTACGTTTCTTGGGACCTTGTTTGCCAGTATAACATATTAGCTTGCGATCTTGCTTAAGGACGCAATTCATCGAGCGCCCACCCACACCCCACACTCACCGCACGATATCTATGAGTACCTCACGTCCTCCACCCATCCATATATTGATATACCTACCACGCACATGATCTGTTTTACCACATTCTAGGGCTCGAATGTGAATTGGTACTAAGGGATTTGTTATGCATAGCGATAAACCGTAACCCATACATAGTTGATAATATTAAGATTTTTATGCGCAATATGATAGTTTTTTTTTTGTTCTAGGCCGTCCACCGAGGTAGATCTGCTTGAGGGTTCGACGGGGATCAGATGGGTAGTTTGATTTAAGAAGCAGGACCCTAGCCATTCGAGGGAGAGGGTTCATCCGCGGAAGAGAAGTTAGTTGGCGATGTACCGAGTATGTGCTATAGGTAAGTTCTAGGCCTGTCCGGAGACTAATAGTAGTTCTTTGGATCTGCGTGTTGCATCATGTTGCCATTGATGAGAATCCGAAGATCAACAGGTTCAACGGAGGGGTCGAATAAATTGACGATTCCATTCTTCTCTTCTTGACCACTCCACGTTACCGCAGTTCGTTCGTTCTTTCTTTCGTTCATCCTTAGTCCGGAGTCGTTGCCGTCGTCGTCGTCGTCGGCCCTGAAGTAGCCCTGGACTGACAGTTCATTTTGACAGTGACCCCAGACTTATCGACCTAGCAACGTTCCACAGCCACGAATCACAACTTTTTTTTATTTTCTTCGAACCATAAGGCAAGTCCCTCTAAATGTAACTACTCGAACCTACTTACCTTTACATTCGTCTTAAAATTCATTAGAACATCCCGTTCAAAAGCTTTATGGGACATTCAAGTTCACAGTTCAAATCAATCAAAGTTTGTTTGTGTCAAGGAAGATCGTAAACTCTATAATATGGACCCTGGCTTTATTGCCAAGCCTCACTCTCGTTTCTCTCCCTCCCACACCAATCCTCTTTCCGCGTTATATCGCGTCGATCTCTTTCCTACTCCTTCTCACAGTTACTTCCTCCCAAACCAAATGGACCAAAGTCCAAGGTACACTAGTGGAACTACCTGTATTCCTTCATTGTTCCCTCCGGGCGTCGACCCAAACACCGTCGACTTCAGAACTTTCTTTCCTTATATTCCAAACGAGGTCAAGCATAGAAAGCGCACCTCTCGTACACAACTCAAGGTCCTAGAAGATATATTTCGTAAAGATACAAAACCAAATGCTGCCCTGCGTAAAAAGTTAGCAGCAGAACTTGATATGCTTCCACGTGCGGTACAGGTGCGTTTTAGACGTCAATTCGTCGCGTCCTCACTGCTTAATCTCGCGTGCCACCCAAAAGGTGTGGTTTCAAAACAGGTATGTCATACTCTCTTCCCATTTTTCTTTTCTAATTCAACTCGTTCATTCTCTCTTAGGCGTGCAAAGGACAAGGCTCTTCGGAAAAGAGTCCAGGACTCGACTCAGCAGGATTCTCCTTCGGCTCACTCTCCTCAAAAGTCTCAGTCTTCCAGGGACACCTCCCCCAATGACTCTTCCAATTCTTCCACCCCCACGGAAAAACCCACGCACCCTGCAGAAGACGATCAACCACCCTCACCAGAGCCACACCCAGTGGAGCGATCACCAACAGCTGAAAGTCCTCTTACGAAGTTTTCCTTTTCCCTTCCTGCGCCCCCAACAGAAGCTTGGCACAGTAACCCAGCCACTCCTGCCGAAATTCCTCCTCATGCTCGCCCTTTCTCAACAGATTTGACTTGGCAAGACAATAATGACCTTCTGAACACACGCAGAGGGTCGCTGCCAATCACCATGTCCACGCCAAGTACAGACGCCAACCAGCCGTCTTCCCACTTCCCAGATAGACGCAAGTCTATGGACGTCAGTCTCCTTAGGCTCATGCATCATCCGTTCGCACGCGTTGCAAAGGAGAAGAATGACGCGATCTTTCTCAGGCCGCCCATATCTCCTGCAGGGTCGGGTCAGTCCATGGCCCGTCCACCCTCCGGCCTCGGTGGGCCAAGCATACGTGCAGCAAGTTATGGCTCTTCTACTTCGTACAGCCCTTACACTCGCCCTTCTTTGGCTCATAGAGCATCAGAGCCCCATGTCTTCTCGCCTACTCGCTCTTCCCTTGTACCGGAGATACGTCCACCGTTTCCGTCATCGCACGTGCCACGCCGGCTCTCGGACAACCGTTTTACAATGAGCTCCAGAGCGCTCCCGTCACCTATTCCTGGACCCTTGCCAAAGCCTGATTTCCAGTTTGGCGCTCCGACATCTGCATCTCCTCCACATGTCTCACCGGATGCAGAATCTCCCGGGAACATGCACGCATGGGCGTTTCCTCGCAATGAGGCAGATCAGGACACGGAGGATTCGTACAGTTCTACTGGATTATCTAGATTCGGCTCGATTGCTAGCATCTGTGGGAGCGACACCAGCGCGACCAGTGCAATTTATTCGGACGTCAGTAGTTGTGTTGGCGTCGATCATTTCGATCCTAATGGAAGGAGAGGGTCTTGGTACGCTGCGCTTTTACGATCAATACGTTCGTTTTTTAATGTTTTTTTACGTTACAGCGCATCCAACCTCGAGACACGTATGTCCGGTTTGAACATGCGGTCCAGCCAGGGATCGCTCAACGAGGCTCACTTAAACGCCGCGTCTTCATTTTCCTATCAACATAGGGAGCACCTGTTATCACAGGAACCAGGGTACTCTTCCCCTGCCTCAACTGTTTCACCCGGCGGAAGTCCACACCCTGGATACGGAAAGGACCCTGGCCCTTCGGGTCTACGAACGAGCGAGGTTTCGTTTGGATACAATCCTGTAATTAGTCATTTTACCTCGGATGTTTCTGACGAGATGCTGACGTGTGTCTACGCAGCTCCCACCTGAAACTAGTGGCAACACCTATCTAGGACCCACGGAGCCCGCTACAGCAAGCCGCAGGCCCAGTATACCCACCATCCAAGAAGGAGTGCCGCACAATCATATCCAGAACAACATCGAGCACAACTCATATCCACCGCCCGTAGACACAACGGCCCCGTCCAACGCATACCATTTCGCCCCAGAATCTAGCCAATACTCCCACACAGGAAACTATCCACCATTTCCGCGGGACAGCACATTTCCTCCCACGGAGACCTCATACCCCCAACCTGGGTTGCAGTACCCACCCGAGAGCAGTTTTTCGTTGAGCTCTGCTCCGTCTGCTGTTGTTGGAGTTGGCGGTGGTATGAGCTCGTATGTGTCACCTCCGGCTGAATATACCTTTACTGTGCCTCCTTCGAACAGCGTGGGGCATGGTGGGGAACGGTTTGGTGCATATAGCTGAGGCGGCCGTTGACTTTCCTGGACTGTCGTCCCTATCTTGCCATTTTCATCATCCGTCCGTTTGGAATTCGCGTGTACCATAATTTACTACTGCCTTTGCTCGCTGCTATTATCCTGTGGCTGCTGCAAATTAATTTGGTCGTGGTCTCATGGGTTTTTTTGCCAACCTGTCTTTTCGCTGTGCTTTATGTCCATCGCTTTATTTACTTTGACTTTTTTTTCTATACTCATACTGATACGCTCAGCACTCCCACCGCCAGCATGTTCCTTTCGTCCCGTTTTCCACCACCCTGTCGCTCGTTCGTTGGCTACTCCCATCTGCTCATCGTTATCTGGTCATGCTTGCTGTTTTCTGTTTTGGTCGTCCATCATAGTCCATTGTCTCGTCTCGCCTCTATTTTTTTTAGTTCCTTATCTCCATCTCTGTCTTTCTTTTTTGCTCATCGAACACCATCTTTATCCCATCATATTTTCGTCTCGTGCGATTTTGCTCGGGGTTCTGGCTCTACTTAAATTAATGTACTTAGTTTAATCCTTTTGTGAACTCAGTCGCAGCCATTTTGGTGTAATAAGTCTTGGGGGATCGACAGGGTCGCGTCGTGTATAGGGGCAGAACAGGCCGCCGTGGCTAGTGCCAAGATTGCAATTAGGGAGAAGTTGGAAAGAAGACTGGAAGAGACTCGGACGAGACTCCAATTTGACTATTGAGCCTGTACCCCAAACTTAAAGAAAGACTGATACTCGGTTTGAGCAGTGACCTGTCGGACGAATATAGGTTATCATAGTAAGATAACAAGATATTGAACGACTATAAACTGCAGGACTAAGACTTGGTTAGAGCTTCGTTCCAGGCGTTGCAGGAAACGGCGGTGCCATCATCGATATTGGAGGGTGAAAAATAGTCTGATTGCCGGATAGACCCAAAGGCAGTTCTCCACCTCTCCCTGTCACCTGTGCATTCCTGTCCATCATCAGGCGGTGAAGCTGCGCCCAAAGAATCATTAGAACGGTGCCGCATGATGCAGATTGAAATAGAGATAAAAGGAAGCGATAAGATAGCAAAATTGTAGGCACAACGTACTTGCAGTCGTATGCCGTGAACGGCGTATTTGAGAGAACCGAGTTCTTCATTCAAACGCATGCTCTCATTCGTAAGTGCGATGTCGTTTCGACGTGCTAGGGAATCGACAGATGTAGATACGGCGGCTAGGGAGTCGCGTAAGCCACTCAGCGAACCCTCGAGGGAAGTACTAAGATTAAGTGGTGCAACAGGCGTTAGTGGCAGTGTGCGTTGAGACGAGTGCGGATCTACGATCCCGCTGAACGATCGGCGTGATCGGAAATAATGATGGGATTCTTGGAATGCGTGTTCGTGTGGGAGTGGGAAGTAGGGTGCGAGCGCGTCGATGTCGTTATGAGCCGTAAGTTCTCCGTGATCTGCGGAGAAAGATGATTGAGCTTGATTGGCAGTGGTCCTAGAGGAAGGAGAAGGACCGGGAGGTGCCGAGAAGAGGTTATGGAAGCCGTCGATGGATGGGGAAGCAATTGGTGGGGTGTGGTCTTGGATTTGTGTCCGGTACCATGGACCGAGGACGTTTCTGAAGGTTTGGATGTCTCTTTGCATCGCTTGGACGACGGATTCGAGTGCGTAGACTTTTTGTCTGAGAGCGGCATTTTCCGTGTTGAGTGATGATAGTTGAGCGCTGTTGATGGAGAAGAATCCTTTGATAGCTTCGTATGGGCAGGAGAGAACGTGTTCATCAAAGAACTGACGCCGGGGACCAGCCCAGCAACAGCCGTTCTTAGCCTGCGTGCATGGAATTTCATGGTCGAGACAGGTGGCAGCATGCGCTTGTGACTGTGACCTCGGGAAGTCTTCGAAGCAGAAACTGCACGTTGCAGACTTGGAAGGACACTCCGAGTTGTGAGTCTATTCACGCTTAGGTAAGCAGATTAAGAATCAATTGTCATAGACACGCACACTAAGATCGCTGTACTTGATAGTCGCACCACACCCGTCGCACTGCGTCGAGCGGTACACACAAGCGTCTTGATGCTTACCAATATCCTTCCGAAGGATGAGCTTGTCGCATTGCTCTTCCGAACACGGGATCTCAACATATTGGCAGGTGTCCTTGACGTGAGCGGACAGTAGTTGTCTTTGAAAGGTCTGCATGCATCCGGATACTCGGTTAGGGCATTCGATGATAAGTTCATCCACGAGCTGGGGCTTTTATGTCAGTGATTTTGCCTGCTGTGCGCTGGCACGTATCTCACTCACATGTTTCACGATTGGATTCGCTGGCGATAGATCGTCAAGTGAAAGCGAGGAGCGGTCGATTGGACATTGCGGGGAGTGTTGTACGGCTACTGCAATACAGTCATGACAGAATGTATGCAAGCATGTCCGGGCGGTCGTAGGATTTGTGAATGGGGCACTACACGATGTTCCGTTACAAGAGTTTTAATACAGGTAGCGAGCTTACTGGCAGATGCAGCAGATCTACACAGAGATTGTGAGAGTGAAATTGATGTAACGTGGGTTGACCCACCAGATTACTATTTGGCTGTTCTACGTAGTCCATCATGAGGAGAAATTGTTTGGCTTTGTTATGAATGGGAGCTGCCCCCGGGCCACGCGCCCACAATGCAGATTCCGAAGTCGACCGTAGGAGGTGGGATGAGCTGGGGAAGATGACTATTCGGAAAAGTTCTATGTCGATCAGTGAAAGTGCGTTCAAACTTTAACTCTTGAAACATGACAAGGAGTGATGTGAACCAGCAGCAGCAGGCTCGTGACCAGATGAGCGCCCATTCATCGACATCCTTCGAACGCATTTTAGCACAACTTCCAGCAAGCTTCTGATAGTCCCGAGACCGTGACAATAGAACATCCATCTTCTTACAATCTTATTTTGCGCGTCACTCGACAGCTTCGCTATCTTGCAACACTTATTGATCCCAAGTCCAACTCCAGCCGTCGTGATTTGTTCCTTGAGACAGGTCCCGCATGATACCTAACCATACTCTGAAACCCAGCTAGTATTTAGTTCCATTCCATCACGCAGTCATGTGTTGACCGTTGTAGATGAGTCAGGATCATTCCAAGGATATTAGGTCTGTCTGGCTGCCGTGAAGGCTAATGATATGGGTTACAAACATGGGTTACAAACGTGTCGGCAATACCACAGCAGCCCCCAGACGAGCGCCTATTGAGCACTCCTTCCAAATTCTATCACTGTCTAGCAAGCTTTCCCTAGATTAAAACATCCATTCAACCATTGTATCTCAAGTCACGCTTTACTCACCATCACTTGACAGCTTGAAGCTTGATCACTGCGCAATTAAAGCCCAAGTTCTGATTCGAATTCTAGTACGTTGTCTCTCGAGTTAACCATCGTTTGGATGGTTTCTAACGGCACCCTCGATCCCAGTTAGTGTTACTTTCAGTTGGTTCATTACATCTCTCATATCACAACCTTCGTCAATGAGTGACGATCAATGTCAGTACTTCCATTTCTTATCTCGCATGCTCTGTAACCTCTGACAGTTCTTGAAGCACCTTGGGTGAGACTCTCAGAGGTTGCCGTCAAGGGTGCCCAATACAACTCCGGTGAACGTCAGCCCCACCCGAAATGTTTGAAAGGGACCCGGGTTGATCTCCTCAAATACATTCACGAATTACTGGACAACCCAGAGAAGAATCAACTCATTTGGGTGCATGGCACAGCTGGCGTCGGAAAGTCTGCTGTTGCATTTACAGTTGCTGAAAAGATGAGAGGTCTAAAAGTGACTGAAGAGAACATTGTCGAGAAGCGGCTAAGCAGGAACATTATTTTTCTCCCGCAAGCACACCAAACGCTGCACGACTGGATATTTCTTTGCCACGCTTGGCTACCAACTTGCTATCAATTTTCCAAGCATTCAGCAGGATGTGAACAAAGCGATCCGCAACAATCCCGCTTTACTAGACCCAGACACGCCTCTCTGCGACCAGATGGAGGCTTTCTTTCTCCAACCCCTCCGGAGACTTCGACTTAGATTCCGCGGATGTCCACCTTTGTCGTTTGTGTTCGATGCGCTTGATGAATGCACGTCAGAACCCGACATTACCGATCTCATCCTTTCCCTTGCACAGGCTCTTCGTGAGCCTGACCTTCCTGTGACCCACATTCTACTCACAAGTCGCTCGGAATCACATATATCTGAAGCCTTCAAAAACGAAGAGGTGCACCTATTGGTGCGCGAGGTACCTGTGAGAACTTCTGGGGAAGGTGGCATCATTTCATTGGATGGCGCAGATGTTGACAATGACATCAGTACTTTCTTGCGGCATTCCTTTGCACAGCTGGGAATTCGCCGTCCTGATTTCCCCCTAACCATCGACTGAACAACTTCAGCAGCTTGCGAGCCGAGCAGGCAGACGTTTCATCGTGGCGTCTACAATGATGAAGTTTATTATTGACGACGAAGACAAGGATCCCGGTGATCGATTGCAGCTGATGCTCAAGCTGACAAGCAAGCTGCTACCAGGAACGGAGGTGTACAAGTTATATGACTGTATCCTCTCCACATGTGCCGACCCCAAGCGTGCTTACATGCACTTGTCCATTGTTGCCACCCTTGCAGACCCTCTTCCCATCTCACAAATATCATCACTTCTTGGCCCTGGTTTAAACAGGGATGTGCAGACAACGCTGATACAGCTACGGTCTGTCGTAGATATCCCTACAGACAGCATTCTCCCTGTGAATATTCATCACTCCTCCATTCGTGACTATGTCTCCGACCCCTCAAACTGCAGCCTCCCTCAAGTACGCGAACACGATATGCGATCACCCCACTCCCTACTCGCTGATTCATCTCTTCGCTTGATGATGAAGGAGATTCCTGAAAGCACGGCCCTCTTGGATGTCCTCTTGGAACTGAAGAAGCATAGCCATGCAATTAGTCCTGGGGACCCCCATAGATTAGAAGACAAATTAACTTTCCTCTTTCGGGAACCCGAGCCAGTGTCTGTTCTTATTGGCATGCTATGGCTTCGAGGTGACCACGGGTCAGATATACAATCCTGGCTAGTGACCGAGGATAGGAATGCTTGGTTGGACACCCCTAACGGAAAATCCTGGCTGAATACCTGTGAGGGACGAGAATGGCTGGAGACAGATGAAGGAAGGTTCTGGGAGGAAGGTTCAATGCCTGACTTGCAATCTGTGTCAGACTGGTCAGATTGCTCTGAGACCCAGGAAGTGGGTGACGAACTGCAGATGGAGCACAGGTCAGAGTGGCTGGAGACTCAGGGAGGATTGGCTCGGCAGGCCGATCAAATACCTGAATTACAATCTGTGTCAGACTCTTCGGATTTGTCTGAGACCCAGGAAGTGGGTGACGAGCCGCAGATGTTAGGCTCGAAGCCGGCTTCGATATTCCGGTCGATGCGAGGTGGAATAGAACCCTCTATCCAGAAACAAAGGAGGTCAAAAAAGTCGTTGCGGACTGAGGGAGGACGAAAGTGGCTGGAGACCAAGGGAGGAAGACGTTGGCTGAAGGCTTGGGGAGGAAATCCCTGGCTGATGTCTCCGGACGGGTCAGATTGGCTGAAGACTTGGAAAGGAAACCACTGGCTGAAGTCTCCGCACGGGTCAGATTGGCTGAAATCCTTAGATGGGCGAGACTGGCTGCAGACGTCCCATGGCCAAGCATGGAAATCCACTCCTGCAGGGTCCGCCCGGGTGACTTTTGACGAACTCTCAAGTACGCTGAAAGCGATCAGCGAGTTTATCATTGTCCCAGAATTGCGTTTGCTACCAACCTTCCAAGTAGTCCAGTCGTTTGAAAGCTTGCCAGATTTCTTGATGCTCCCGGCGTTCCTTGCTTTAAGCCGCCAGCATCATTCCACTGCATCATCAACATATCGTCCACCGAACAGGGAGATCATCCACGCTATGAACGCCTTCATGGCTTTCACACGCAAGGCACAGCACGACAGTCGATTATCTTCATACGCTCTCAAGTACGCCTGTCAAAACTGGGCCACATATCTCTTGCGTGCTCCAGATCCACGGGATGACACGTCCAACCACTTATTCCAGGCTTTCTGGAATCATCACCTCCTTTCCTGGCTCGAACGGCAATGGTGCTTGAAGGGTCTGCGGTCTTGCCTTGTCGTCTTATCTGAAGGGCAGAAATTTGCTAAGGTGTATGTGTAGAATTTTCAACTAGCAACAACTAACACCGCCTTATACATATTCAGTTCCATGTATATTTGAAATTCTGACCTTCGCCGTCTGAATTCATGTATTAACTATGGGAGCGACCATTGCTAGATAAAACTCGATCCAGATGTGCAGAAATCGCTCTTATACACTTCCATGATCTGACATTGCATGATTGCATCTGTCTCGGAATTGTGCATTCGTCGCGACACCGTTCGAGATCGAATCAGACTGCACAGGCGATTTAGTCAAAATCGGTAGCAGGTTCTACCCGTGTCGTGAAACTGTTGGCATACTATAGTAAATGTGGAGTACTTGGATTACGCTTATGATATGTAGCTGCTCGTTGGTAAAGAGTGAATTTGAAATTTAAAGAGGAAAGAACATCTTGACGGCAGATATGCAACCTCGCAGCGCCAGGCTCGGAATATTTGAATAAATACACCAGAGTGACACGATGCAAGTCCTCTAAGTTTATTTGCAGTATTCAGGCTTATGGTTGACGTTGAAGACTTTGCTTCATTCTCATTCAGGTACACGTAAAGTTCTAGTCCAATTTGTGCCGGTGTGCCAATCTCAGCCTGTTCCCTGTCCTTTATACATATATATATACATTGTCATA